CCCCCCCCCTCTCTCTCTCTCTCTCTCTCTCTCTCTCTCTCTCTCTCTCTCTCTCTCTCTCTCTCTCAGAGTTTGGCCCATTAAAGTGATATAAATTATAATCACGTGGAGCTTCACAAAAAAATCCGATGGAAATCAAAGAAATTAACATTTTCTTTAACTCATTAGCTGATCAATCTCTTTCACATGTTGGAGTGTCATATAGTCAATTTTAATTTTAAAAACTAATCAAATCAGCTTTTTTTAATTAAAAAAAAACACTGTTGGTAATTCCATTCTTGCTTTCACAATATTTTGCATTCTTAGTCTAAAACCATAGCAGTTCAATCGATTTTTATAAATTATTTTGTAACTAAATTGTCTTAGTTATTTGAATTAACCATTCCACTTCTTTTGCGTAAAAAAAAATTAATTATTACCTCAACATAAAACTTAATAAATCTTGTATTTCTAGATAATGAAAAAATTGGTTTATGCAATTTATATTTCATAAAAAAAAAATAATCCATGCTCCCAATACCCTTGTTGTTCTATATATATATATATATATATATATAGACACCGCTCCACCTAACTTGTGTAACTTTTCTTTTGAAAAGTTTGTGCGTGTTTTCTTCTTTCTTTTTTTTTTTTTGGTTGGATTGTAAATTCTTGAATGGCTTTGTTTACAATAGCTTAGATTGGTACACAATTGGAATTAGTTAAGAAAAATAAACTCAAAAAATGCGTCATCCAAAATAAGTAAACTCATTTTTAAAATTCAATAAACCCAAAATTTTCTATTCTATAGACCAATTTTGTTAACTTGCTTTTGACCAAATTTTTTTTTTTGAAAAACTTGCATAACTATGTTAATTAAGTAATTCAACTTATTATAATGCAAAGCACATGAGTTAAAACACCATTTTAATTCTGATGCGAATCTAATTGTTTCATATTCTGTTTAGTTGTTTAAGCTGATATCCTATGAAAAACAAAATTAATGGTTACTAATTATCACGTTCAGAAGAAAAACTATTTTTGAAATAATACAAAAGAAAAAAAAAACAGAAAATCCACATTGGCCAAGTGTTTGGATTTCCTTTCTTCCGTACAACTTTGGTTTTTGTCTCCGGAAAATCAGTGATCCTTATCCTCAAAGATTCGGTCCAAAGTCACTTTATTTGTCGGACAGTATCCATTTTATTTGTGAAAAAAAAACATTGTGGAGAAACATTGCAGTTATATTATTGGAAAACCCAATATTTTTTCTTTTGGTAAAAAGAAAATAAAAAATCGAAAATAAAGATTCCTCAAATCCACCAAATGGGTCGGACGGTATCTACAACTTCCAATTAATTAATTTGAATTTTATATTGAAATTGGAATCATGTTGACAATTTGTGAAATATACAACTAATTCTTCTTCAATTTGATTCGCTACAGAATCTCTCTGTAATGGACTGAATTATTATAGAAACTAGTGAGAAAACTAAATTTGATGAGATGTATGAAGAAAAGGATGAAAAATTTATTGACAATAAAGTTGAAAGTTTATATTAAATATGATTTCTATTTGGTTTGAATTTATGAAAATATATATCCGGTAGAATTAAGAGTCCAACGCGTTTTTAGTTAACGACTGTTTTAAAAACCGTCAAAATTCGAATTACATGTTCAATTACGATAAAAACAAATTTATAAAAGATTTTTTTTTTATAAAAAAAAAAGTGTTGGGACCATATCGTGAATCTTGTTCGTCTTTCAAACGAAAACAATATCGTGGTTCAATTTTTCTAAGTTATGAGAGAAACTACTATATATCGATCTTCAACGGGAAGCTAGCTAGTCGAATGGAATTCATAGTAACATCACCTTCCGTTTTAAACTATTTCTACTTTAGTATAAAGAAAAACCCTAAAGTTGCTTATATTGTCTATGCCTTTCTTATTTAATTCATAGTTTTTTTAATGATCTGAAAGTTAATTAAATCGGTAATTGGAATCAAGATGTATACAACTACACACAAGTACTCGTGTGGTAAATAACTATAGATTAATTAATTACAAAATTCTTAAGTTATTTAACATATTGAACGTTCATTATCCATACATATGTTTTCATTTACATGAAAATTAAAGCCTTTTTTTCATAAATAGGACAAGGACATGAGAAAAATTAAAGAAACAAAAAACGATGAAAACCCAGAAGAGAAAGCTTGAAAAGCCTACATGGGACCAAGATTCCGTTTATACATTTTTGGCATATATACACACATGGATATGATACGAAAATCTCGCTCCAGATCTTATTATATTATCAAGAAAATAAACATTAGGATTTAATCCAAGACAATACCAAGAAAAACACACAAGGGAAAAAACAAAACATGAAAAACTAAAGATCTAAATTAAGAACACTCGGAGAAAACCCTCGTTGGGAAAGCAACAAAAAAGTGATTATAAAGATGATGAGAAGAGAAAAAAAAGGGGGGGCGATAGGATCGAAAGCCAAGCATCAGACTTGCCTATATCGGTCGAGGGGTTCGCTAAAACATCGAAGCCCTCGATTCTTGATGAAGTTCTTTAGGCCATGGTTCGAAGGCGGCATCGATATTCGCCGATGGACGACGATATCTTCCTTTCAATGGACTTGAGACCGCCATAACTATTTCTCTCTGTCAATTTCGACATGGAGACAAGATGATCATTTAGGTCATAAGGAGGAGGAACCAAAAGAAAACTGGAAGAAATTGGGATCTCACACCGAGATAGAGAGAGAGAGAGAGAGAGAGAGCATGTATGTAGGTATAAGGAAATGTGTTTGGTCACAAATTAAATAAATGAGAAACGCATAAGAAACGTGTGAACACGCACGTAGAGGATTCCCTCCTCGTATGATTTATTATGCTCATAAAAATTCATGAGCTTATTTACAAAAAATTAGTTATCATATACGAAACATCAACTCCAAGTTCAAAGAACGCTTGCATTAACATGATAATCACATGCATATAATCTCATTCGTCTGACTTAAGTGGGATTTTAACCATTTATGTTTACCGACTTTACGGTACATATATATTGGTAAAATTTTACCCGACATGTAAAACAAAATGTTACGAATGAAAATCATATATTAGTATGTATGACAATCTAATGCAACTTTTATATATATATATATATATATATATATATATATCAAAAAGTTGAAGGGTGGGTCGGGTCATTGACCCTTTACCATCTCCCTGTCCCGGGCCACACACCACTGAGCCACTTAGGGTTGGGTGGACAACGTAATGCAATTTGCATTAAAACGTTTATGTAAAAATATCGGAATTATCTAAATATCTTGGTACTAAATGTTTTGAATTTCAAAGATTATTCATGATATATATTAATTGATAATGAGAAGCAAACAAGGCGGACCATGCAGAATAGAGGGCCCTGGTTCACATGCTGCTGCATTATTTTTGGATTTAATGAAAAGTGGTATGTCTTTGTCTAAAGGGAATACCACTTTCTTTGTCATATGTTGGTTTCTAAATTTCTTTTCCAGTTATAAATGCACCTATTGGGTCCGTGATTTGAGACCAGAAAGAATTTATCATCCTGTTAATCACAAAATTTAAAAAAAAAAAGAGTTTTATTCCCAATTATTCTATTCTATTCTATTTTTTTCCTCAATTAAAATCTATAATTTTATCTTTAAAAAAAGGTTTAACTTATTCGATAATAATCGAACAAACACAATACAGTTATATATAATTATATGATTGTATTAGAATCAAATCCAATCTAAAAATTGACTAGGATATATAGAATAAAAATAATCGGAAATAGAAGGGAAAAGGGGCCAACTTTTCTTTTGAAATAAATATTGTTATAATTTTACATTTTTTTACACTTGTTTGTTAACGTTTAGAGTGGAATTTGAACCACTATTTATTTTTCAGATACACAACAATAAATTTCAAGGTAGAATCGGAATTACGATGGCAAGAATTTTGTTTTCTTTTTCACGTTTCACAATATATCACGGAATTAAATATTTTTATATTTTTTATTTTAATGTTCGCTATTTAGTCACCAATAATTACCCGCTTTAAATAATAGATATGCCACACAAAATTGCTAGAAAATGACATAACTAGCATCCCGGAAACAAAATAAAAAATAATTAAAAATACAATGATATTTTAAATTATATAATTAAACCATTTAATTCTTATTACGGTAAAATCAATTAATTATAATACGGTAAATGGGCTTTACCTTATGTTTATTTACACATAAACCATCAAATTAATTTTATTTTCACTTCTTTTCTGGTTTAAAATGACTATGCAATTGCTTTCTAACATGATATGTTCAAATTGAAGATGAAGCAGTTAACAAGAATATGATAGAGAGAAAAAATATGATACCCGATAATACATTTCATATGCTTTTGTATTACCATTTTTAAATGTAACCACATTGTGAATCAACACAACATGTAAGTTTTGGAAATCTATTTATTTAAAACGTCTAAGTGGCCAATAAGTCTAATGGTTTAAAACGTCTTCGATCACTAGACATTGAAATTATGAACAACTTTAACAACATTCAGTTCATTGAATTGGATGAAATTTTAGAAACACAAAGGAACTTCCCAATTAATAAATGCTATAAGAGTTACAAAAAATGTTATAGTTGCATTGTTGTGTATAAATACCACTCCTACTTCAATTTCCATATCAAGAAAAAACACAAAACATAACATATTAGAGTAAATTAACCAAATCCAAACACATTCAGCGAAGATGACAAAACTCAACATCAAGATTACTATGGCATTGGCTATTGTAGCTGTGACATATGCATTTGTACCTGCCTTTGCTATTGAAGAAGGAGAAGCCAAGCAATTCTGGGATAAATGTCTCACCAAAATGTCTCCAAAGTGTACATTGGATATAGTCGAAGAGATTTTTTGGAACGGGACAGTCTCCGATGTTTGTTGTCGCGAGCTTGTCGAAGAGGGAAAGCTCTGCCATGACACTCTGATCAAATACATGGCCGATAGACCAAGTTTTATTGTCCGTGAACCCGAGTATCTTGCAAAAAAAGATGCTTTGTGGACTCGTTGTGTGTCGGTTAAAACAACTGTTTAAATAGAAATGTATTCTCAAATAAAAATATCATTTTCACATTAAAAAAATATATTATTTTCTTCATGATTTACATTACATTTACCTATTTAATCCTCTATTTATTTCAAGGTAGAATCGGAATTACAATGGGAAATTTACCAACTCTACTAATGGTGAAATAACATATAATCACTTCTTATATATTAATTGCCATAAAATAAAACATTTCAGTCAAATTCACTACTTATTCATCAATACCAAATACAATGCTTTCAACAAGTAATATTACAAATTGTAAACAATAATCGCGGGCAACAAAAAAATTGCCAAAGAAAATAAAATTTGAGCCAAGAATCACAAACATTCATATCTCACAATCTATATCATACCTTTTGATTCGTTCCATTCGAGAATTCATACTTAAAATTTATCAAAATAATATGGGAGCCATCAATGCAGATTATCTACTTATATTGGAGGGGGAGGAAACACAAATGCCAAAGAACAGCTTGTGAATTTGCCCTTGAGATTTGTTGATTCCTATTGAAAGAAAAAAGGAATAATAAATTCACCAGAAATAACAACCGAAACCACCATATCATCAAACACCCGAGATCTCGGAACCGCAACTGCGCAAGAAATTTATATCGAAACAGCTTCGAGTAACTTACCGGTCTGCATCGTGGATCTCCCGACGCTAAAGGTTTTTGTTGTGCGTCGATCACTCTGTCTCTGTAGAATAGAAGGAAGTAGCGAAAGACGGGATATCCGTGGCTCTTCAATAAAATCAGCCACTGGAAAAGTTTTTTATTTTAATCTTTTGAATTCCGTATATACGGTTAACTCCTCGGTAATGCTCCTAACTGATTTCTGCTGAAAAGAACAAACCCGAGTTTCCTACCAACCAAGAAAGAAGGCATGAATCTCAGCCCAGCTGGATACTGTATAGAGCGTGCCAGAGAGTCCTTTCCACGTCGAGGATTCATCTTCGGCTTTTTGTTTTTGTTTCTGAACGATGCCAGAGAACAACGGAACAAACGAGATGCCGAAATGGCTTCCCACTCTCCTGAGGCTCGAACTAGAGCCAACGACTATTCCTATATCTGCTTCGAGGAGACACAGCAAGTCACCTACTGAATCTCCGATATAAACAGTTAATAAGCTTTTCTTGTCACTACTGCGATTATGCAGAACTGTTTTGAATTCTCGAGCTTTATCGATCGGGGATTCCACTTTTCTTGTGATTTCGCCGGTTGATATAGACTCCTCGAACGTCAATTCATTTGCATGTACTTTAAGGGCATCAAATCCTCCTGTTTCAAGCATGCAAAATCCATAATAAGTAGCCACAACAGAGGCCATTACGGAAAAAATATCGTGACAAAGAGAGAATCAGCTAAAAACACATTCAAGGAGAGTTTCAAGCAATACAGGTAACTTACAGGTAAATCATCAAGAAGAATAATGAGAATAGTCAATCGAATATAGACCAAGAAGAGCATGAGACCAGTTCTATGACAGAAAATACAACATATGTTTGTATGGATGAGTGTTCAACAAAACAACACATACTGAAGCTTCAAATTGACAAACAAAACAGGAATTCAGTTCAGAAGAAAGAAATGGGAGGAGATTCTGGCAAAGAATTGCCTTAGAAAGAAGGCTACGCAAAATTGCAAAGTTCTATTTGTCTAAATAGTCTCCAAACTTTACTGATTAAGAGCCAGGAATCACGTACCTGCAGAAAAGGCTGCTCTGATGAGATCGCCACACCAGCAATAAGAAAGCACGTGGACATTTGCACTCAGTATTTCATTTTTTACAATTCTCTGGAAGAAATTGAGGCAGCCATCTTGAAGAATTAACCTTTCACCAGCTCTTTTGATGTCTTCAAGATTCAGACCTTTGAGTACACCAGAATCAATCACCCGGAGATTTGCCATTTTTTCAAAATCCGAGAGCTGCTCTAGTGCTTTACATAAACCCTCATAGTCAAAGGCGTCCACTGCAGGAGCACAGTAGTATGAAATCACACACATTAAGTCACAAAAATTTCTTAGATTAGTACAGAACTCGAATTGGCCAACAGGTAAGCAAATCTGACCTTTTTCCTTCTTTAGAACATTCTCTATACACTCTTCATACTCTTCTGTATATTGTTTAGAAAGATGAGTCCATGTGTTCTTAAGGTCAACTGACACCATCCGATGAATTTGTTGCTCAGATTTACTCTGATCAGATTTTGGAGCAGTTACTATTGCAATTTCTGCCAAAATGGCAGAAGAATCAACAACACTGCAAGTAAGATCAAAATCAGAAAATATCATCAGATGATCTTCTTCAGGGTTGTGCTCTTTCGTCAGAGGAACTATGGTAGGCTGAGCAAGCGGCTGTGCATGGAAGAACTCTATTTCAAGTTTCATAGCCTGTTGATACAACTTCTCAATGATGTCTAGTTCCTCCCCGGTCATACACACACTAAGTTTCTCGAGCAAGTCTTCCGTTTGCTTAGCTGATGTCTAAACACAAAGAATACAATAACTGAGCCATTGAAGATCACAGACCATTCATTATATACGTCATCTCTCCTTGGCGAAAAACTTGGCCAGGATTTCAAAATTCAAAAGAAACATGTGAAAATACAATATTTATGTATACCTGGAAATCTTCACAAGAATAATTTTCAATCCATTTCTTGTAAGGATGGTTCCCATCGCTCAGATCTACAAGTGCTTCGAACTCCTTACCGAGAAAAGCATATAACTTCATGCAAGGTGCCACAGCACCAAGTGTGTAGGTGGCAACTTTGGTCTTCTCGAAAGGAGTATCAAGCATGCCGGGAGCTTTTATTCCTTCTACTTTTCCAGAGGCTGTTGCTAATAAGAATTCAGTGTATCTCAAAGTTGCAGAGTTAACTGAAACCTCTTCTTCAACGTCTACACCCCACTCCTGCATGGCTCAAACATAGATTCTACTGTGATTATCACAGTTGACCTGATGATTACAGAGGCACACGTGTAACCATGTGCATGTCGTTCCGCAGACCAGATAAAGTGCCACACAACTTAAAAAGTTTCCTCTTTGTGAAGTTGAGAAATATAAGCTAGGTATTACTTCTACACGAATCTGGTCACTTTCCAAATTAAAGGAACACCAAGAAAAGTCAGTGACTTAGACAAAACAGAAGCAACTCAGTCTATCACTTTTCTTCAAGTTCTAGAACATAAAATCAGGTACCCACTAAAAGCATTTGAAACCCAGGACCAAAATCGTAAAAAAGGTTATTTCTTCTCTTTATTTCTCATGATGAAGATATTAAAGGTTAACAACCTTTAACCTAACTTCCTAAGAGAAACCGACCACTTATATCCATAAAATGAAGTAATAAAATACACCATGCAACAACACTGAAACAACCAAAATACGTCTGCACCAAATATGGTTATAGAAATCCACAAAAAGAACCCATGATATAAATGAGAGATTATGAGACCTGGAAAATAGCACCCAATTATCCTTTCATTGATATATAGGAAAAATAAAACATCGAAGAAGCACTGAATCAGGTGTCCAAGAAAATAAATGTGTCAGATCAACTTCCACCCTTGTAATATCTAGTTATCTACAATACTAGCTCCCACTTCTGGGGCGAATGCAAATATTCTTTTTGTTTCCTCTTTACTATGGAGTACATCAACAGGCGAAACAGGAGTAAAATTCATGTGGCTTGAAGAATTCATCCTACCTGTACAACTGAGTTGTGCATTTTCAGTTCCTCCATAACACTTTTCCTCAAATCAGAGATTGCCAACTTGTCATCATCATCATCAGCGCACTCCTCCGCCAATTCATACCTAAAGTCAAACATAAAGCATCTAGCAACTCCCAATATTACCAAGAATAATTTTCACCACCATCTTCAACAAATCAGAGATATTTCAGCTATCTTGCCTTGTCATAAATAAACACCAGCCTCAACAAATTTTGATAAGCACTTAAATAGGTTTCTCACATGCACCACTAGCAAAATCATATCATTCAATCAACTTCTGAAACGAAAAGATAAAAGAATCTAAGGAAAAGAATTCTGCAATCTGCACAATGCACCTTTTTTCCTTACACTAAAATTGCAAACTTAATAAACAAATCCAATTTAGAAGATCAAGTAATTCAAAAAGGAAGCTTGAATCAGATTATTCATCCAAATTTCCTCCTATGGTTCATAATGGCCACCGACTGGGAATACAGGCAGGAACCTCTAGGTTTAATCTCAGGATGGTCACAATTCAAATCTTATTTTTGGAACAAATAGTTCGGGATGCAAAAAGTGAAACCCACAAGAAATCAAGATGGTGTGCAAAATGAATAAAAATCTTATCAATTGCACACTGATCTCTCTTCATACTGTATCTAGAACATTTACCTTTTCTATCAGATATCTACGTTCACCAATAAACATAGGCGCCCTAGACGGCAAAAGAAAAGACTGGTTTCAACAAGATGAACATATAGCCTGCTGAAAATATTTTCAACCTCTTCTCCAGATTCATAAGAAAACATGGCCAACAACAATTTAGCCAAATAATCACTAACATGCTCATAGGTATCTCCATTCCTCTCCGACAAACAATAACAACTAAGCAATTAAGATTAGTTGCCAATAAAAAAAAAAGGTAAACCTCCGAATTGGATGTCAACTACATTATTCGCTTACAGAACTAATTCCTCAGAACAAACACCTAACTTATTTGTCTCATCTACTCCACTAAATCAAATAAAGAATCCAGAAGAACCAGCCCTTGATTCTTCCATTTCCCCTATATATTCATCATCAAAGCACATTTGCTCTGTTGAACAAATGAAAGATCATTCATTTCCGTTGGCAACTCTCGCTCATCAATCTTCCTTGATCAGCATCGTCGGAGGGTTCTAAAGAGAACTTTGTTCTACTCTCATAAGGACTATTAGACACAGCAAATACTATCAAGAATCCTAGTCCACTAGTCTCATCTACCTACCACCGAACATAAACAACTCCAAAATACTGATAGGCAACAATAACGAACGAAATCAAACAGAAGCCAAGAAAAACTCACGCCTGGGCAAAGGCCTTGAGGAAATGAACATCCTGAGCAATATAGTGACGGAACGTCTCGATCTTGAGATTCCCAGCGGCCAAACAGACGGCGAAGGGACTGTACATCGAGAACAGGCATTCTCTACGAAACTTGACCCACAGCCGCGCCGCGAGCCCTTCCTCCGATGAGCTAACGGCAGTCATCGCCGTCGTCGAGGAGGAGGCAGTCGCCGCCTTCGGATTCGCCGCCGATCTAGATACCGGAGAGGAAGCGTCTGCAGAGATAGATCGGAAGGGGACGGTGGCGACGGCGCGTGGAGATCGGAGCGAGGTACTGATCAGGCGCGTGGAGAAAAGGAAGCGCATTCAGAGAGAGAGAGAGAGAGAGAGAGATTGTACGAAGTTAAGTTTTTTCTTAGTTTGAGAGAGAGAGAGAGAAGGTACAAGTTGTAATCTGAGCTGCGCAGGACTCTGCCTTTTTTAGGTCTCTGTTTTTTTTTTTCCTCTTAATTAATTGCGATACATTTTTGCAAATATTATCCATAATAGGATAATTGAAGTTGATTTAAGTGCTTTAACAAACTTTCCACGAATAAAGAATTGCTTTTAATATCAACTGAATATTAATTACGAAATGTAAATATGAGAGATTTAAAACACTAGTATTTTTCATCATGTCAATTACATAAATAAATCGAGATTAAGGTGATGATGTTGTTATTGTAATTATACAAAGAAAACATGATATATATGTATATAAAGTATCAAAACCGTTTCAATGATGGTATATATGAGGGAAAATCATGATATTGATAATCTGTCACCCTCCAATTCCAATTTTGACGATATAACTCATAACATGTCCTCAAGTTCGAGTGCTCACTCGGTGCTGTGGATGTTCAAGTTCAAAAGCATTATTCTCAATGGGAAATGTGGTAGCGTACCCTATTGAAAATTGTTATTCTACTAACCAAAGAATGTTCCCTAGCAAGTTTGATCTTGACTTTGAACCGAACCAAAGCATGGAAGGATGCTATAGACGAAGACATCGTTGCATTATATATATATATATATATATATATATATATCACATGGGATTTTTCGATCTTCCCCGGATGAAAACACTATGTTCATAGCAAATGAGTTTACAAAATAATAATAAAATTGTTAAAAATTAAAAAAATTCTGTCACGCGAGCCAGCTTTTATACTCGTTGAGCTGACTCGCGATGAATTCAGCTTGCCAGACTTGTTTTTTTTTTTTCTTTGTTCGAATTTTTGTAACCCCAACTCCGTAAAATATGGGACATATCATTCTTTGAAAATCAAAGGATGCTACTAGAAATTCTGGGAGATATTGATTTACTGTAGAGTGCGGGAATAACACAAGCGCTGGATCTAGATAAGCATATTCATAGGCATAAAATATTGAAACTAAACCCATATTCAAGCGTGAAAATGAATAAAGAGGATCTCACAATACCTTGTACTGGGCCCCGACATCCCAGACGGTAAAGCTCACGTACGTTCTTGAATTTCAGCGTCTTCACATTAAACCCTGGTAAAACAACGTGACAGACTCCTTGGTTACGTATGGTTTTGTTTTCAATTTTGTAGCATTTTAGGCATTGATTCTCCCCCACGGACCACGAGAGAGCTTGCAGATTTCAATGAAGTCATCATTTGTTTGGTCATTTCCAAGGAGGCCGGAACGACCCCGGAATTTCAGTCACAGGGTTCTCATCCATAAGATGGAATTCCCTTTATAGACACAATCTGGGGCTACTCAAAAGATTTTTGTTGTGTTGCTAAACACTAGTTCTCACTCTGTGCTGCGAAGCTCTGGTCGATTTTGAAGCAGTCATACCCATCGATTCTCACATCCCCATCTTCGTCTTTTCCTCCGTACACCTCAACCCGGGCGACAGGGCACGGAGGATCCATATGAATGATGATGATGATGATGCACTCTCAGATCTTGTTACAGCATCCATCTGTTTTTTCTTCTTTTTTTTTTGCCCTAGAGGCCCTCAGATCTTGTGATCTTGTGCAATTATTTGATGTGTGCCGATGAACCAACCAACCCCCACAAAAAAAAAAAAAAAAAAAAAACACTTGGCGTTGGCGGTGTGCTTCCATTTCCATCTCCCTAATTTATTTTATTTTAATCATTAATTAAAGCTTTTCGCTCCAGCTGTTTTTTTCTATTAAATGTTACCATTAGTACTATCCGAGATCCAAAGGGTACATTCGTCTCTCTCTCTATAATATATATATATATATATATATGACGTAAATGTCAATCACAATGTCTCTGCATATATCCGACCAACCCCCAAAAAAAAAAAAAAAAAAAAAACACTTGGCGTTGGCGGTGTTCTTCCATTTCCATCTCCCTAATTTATTTTATTTTAATCATTAATTAAAGCTTTTCGCTCCAGCTGTTTTTTTCTATTAAATGTTACCATTAGTACTATCCGAGATCCAAAGGGTACATTCGTCTCTCTCTCTATAATATATATATATATATATATATGACGTAAATGTCAATCACAATGTCTCTGCATATATCCGAATGTAGGGCCGTGTCAATGACTCAATCGGTCGTATCCGGTCCGAGTCATTCGGTACCAGGATTTTGAGTTTGGATTCGGGTCTATCTAATTTTTTTCTCGTTTATATAACTAAATCTGAAACTTTCCCCTATATATTTTGGATTCAGATTGGGTCAGAACAGACTAGACCGTCCCTCGTAATTTCTTTTATAAATATTTTTTTTTAAATATCAGATTTTCAGACTCAAATCGAATCCGAAATCCGATTTGAATCTCACTTAAAAGTCCGATTTTTTACGGACCCAATGCGTTCTTCTCTGTAATACCTTTGTACATTTTTATCTCATCGATCCTCTCTCTTCCACCCGGCTATATTTTTTTAAGGGAAAATCCCAAAACAATATCTAAACTTTTCAATTTTTACAAAATAAAACCTAAATATTTTTTTTTATCAAATAAAAGCTCAACATTTTTTAGACAAAAATAAACCTGAACTTTATAATCTTTGTCATTTTTAACTCTATTGTTGACGTGGCGTTCTGATATCGTGACACGTGGACGATGATGTGTCAAATACGGTCAAAGTGTTGACTTAGCACGAAGGATGTCGGAAATGCCACGTCAGTAATAGGGTTAAAAATGATAATGATTATAAAGTTCAGGTTTATAAAATTTAGGTTTTATTTTGTAAAAATTGAAAAGTTCAGATATGTTTTGGGATATTCCTTTTTTTAATGAAAAAAAAAAGACTAGAATCCAATCCACCGACGAAAATCGCTGTAGATATTTTCCGGAGTTTCGTCCAAACTATATAGAGCTTGCAAATGGAATTATTTAATTAATTTTTTTTTTGTAATATTTGATCCAATGGGATTTGAATCTGGGCGGTGAGAAACTATATCGACCCAATTGGTTTAGAATGATTTAATTGTTTCTCTACGTTATGTATATGCCCTTTAGTTTTTTTTAATCTAGTGAGAATAATGGTTAATAATCTAAATTGTTACAATAAGACTACAGATAATCTAAATTGTTATAATAAGACCGACATATTAAATAATAATTTTCTGAAACAATATGTATTATTCTAGGGGCCACTAAACCCATTATAAAATATAGAATTCTCATTTCGAAATTTATGACTGATGAAAAATAAAATAGGAATTTAGAAAGACCGGTGATTTATATATTGTTTTCCAGTATTTTATGTTTCCTCGGGTGGTGGACTCACGTTGCACGGGCTTTGATACATTGGACCTTATTCGCAATGGACCAAGTCTTTATTTCTTTTTTTTCTTTTTAATATTAAATTACGTTAATTCACAGAATAGCAAACTAGATTTTTATTTTTAAATGTATAATAATTTAATATCAGAGAATAAAAAGCAATCATATAATTTATATAATTCTAGAAAAATAAGAGGACATACTCATCATTGTCAAGGCCCTGAAGATGATTTGTGCGTACGAAGGCAAGATCTTTGTCGGAAGATCCGGGACTGACGTCTCCACACGGTCGGGACGTAGCGTTTCACGTGTTTTGATTCTTGAAAGGGATTATGCTATTCACTGTCATCATCCTCATCGGAACGGGCTGGTCTTACGTCGAACCCTACCTTCAAGAACGCGAAAAAAACCCTTCTCCTCGTCGTGATCGCCCTCCAAGTTTTCAAGAACATCGCGTACGTTTTGATCACCGAGACGGGTCCTGCAACAAAGAAGCGGAACCCGTGGAACCAAAGTTACCAAACTTTCTTACTGGTCGACGTTATATGCTGCTATTCTGTGTTTTTTCCCCATCACATGGTCCATAGGCAGCCTAAGAGAGCCGTCCAAATCCGATATCAAGGCGGTTAGGAATCTCGAGAAGTTGACACTTTTCGAGAAGTTCTACGTCCTTTTGACCGGATACTTGCACTTCACGAGTATCGCTGTCTCCAGAATCGGAACGATTTTGAGTTACCGTCTAAAATGGATAACGTACGCTTCTGTAGAGGAAACGATTCTAGGGTTCTACATTTTCATCTTCTGCAAGTTTTCAACCGACGAGGAAGAAGAATCCTTATTCTCTCTCCCTTTCTGGGCACTCGTAGAGGAAGAAATACTTCCGAGCTATGAAATGTTTGGAAAAGTCGCGTGAATTTTGAAAGAAAAGCTGCAGAGACGGTTTCTTGGGTAAGAAGCAACTAAGATTTAAACCTCTTTTTCTTATTATTATTGTAATATGTTGTGCGTGTTTATGTAGTTAGATTTATTGAGGACGTAACCATGTATTTTCTAGGGAGGTTATGCCTTGAAATCCTGTCCGAATTTAATGTGAAATTAGGGATGTTATTAGTAATATTTTCTTGCAAGTATACATATGTCAAGTTCTGGTGTAATGAATGTATAATATTTTTTGAATTTCAAAAGCATTACGAAATATTTTCAAACTATATATTATATGGATGATATGAACCTTTTCTTCTCATCCAATAATAAACTTTCATCCATTTTTTTTCAAAATACATTAAATCCTTTGAGACTTCTTGAACTTTTTCAATAATAATAATTAAAGAAGATAACTTAAATGGAAACAACCATAGGCCGTTTAGTCCATATGGAGTTCGAATTATCACAAAAACAATAAAAAATTCAACAAATACGAAAACATGAAGAAGAAAAAAAAGATAACAATTATATCAGTAATTTAAAAATAAAATTGGAAAGTTTAACAAAAAATATGAGAAAATAATACCACGCACAAAAAAAAACCTTAAAATGCTCAAAAATACAATGTAAATACGATTCAGCGGGATTTGGAAAACAATTATCATGAAAAAAAAAATAGAAATTTTAACAAATGTATAACACCGTTTGAAGAAAACTAGGAATTTTAGTATACATCAAACAAAACGAAGAAAAAAGAGAGAAATAAAGAAACTAGAAAAACAGAAAATCAATATATATTTTATATTTCATATACGATAAATAAACAAATTTTGTAATAACATAGACTACATATAAAATCTTGTAATATTTACTAGTGTCTGGAGTTCGAAAAGTTTAGAAGAAAAGAAAAATAATAATTGGCCAAAAAAAAAAGAAATTTGAAGAATTATTATCTTATTTATAATGGGACAAGGAAACATATCCGCAAAAGCATAGTATGAAAGTAGGTAGACTAGACACGTGTGGAAAACTGACATAAAAATAGGTAAACCGAAAGAATTTTAAAGTAGGTACTAAATATGCAAATCAAATTATTTGGATACAAAATTCAAAAATTATTTCAATTGGTGATAGATTAGTGACCACAAAATCCATATATACGGTAAATATTTGAAACCAATCACTAAAAGTGTGGAACGAAATACTTGTAAATTTGAGATCTTATTATGTTTGAATGATTAACATTCTCTTCAGATACATACATACATACATACATACATACATACATACATACATACATACATACATACATACATACATACATACATACATACAAGCAAACAATTTTGTTCCTCAGCTTTAAAATCACTTTTGAGAAATTTTTTATCCAACTTTTTTTTTTATATAATTTCAGCAAGTTGGGGAAATTTTGAATTATGATGAGAGGTAGAGCTAAGAGTCACATGGAGGAGGGCAGAGGAGAGGGATTATGAACCATCGATTATTTATTTAAAGATGGAGGGATTAATTCTTTATTCCATAAATTTATTGACCAATCAGCACACACAAACAAGCATCAATCAGTGAACAGTTTGGACAGTATGGGCTTTGTGAATTTTTTGTCACATATCCCCATAGTTACGGGACTGTTTTGCGGATAAGGACCCAAGAAAATATCAACATTTACCATATAGTTTTTATATGAATCCATGGTCCACAAAATTTTGGCTCACAACTATACAACTTTTTTTTTTTTTAAAGAAATAAAACTTTTGGATTTTGTGACACCTTTTTTATTTGTGGGCTAACAAATTTAGAAAAATATTATTATAGTTTTTTCTTTTTAATAATTTAGAAGTTTTGACCCGGCTACATCTTTCAAAAGATCAGAAAAATCCATGTAAACGCCTTTTTCCAAGCAAAGATTCAAACTTCTTCCCTTACTGCTTAAACCATCCAATCTTGAATAATTATTACATTAGCTTAATAGTATTACATCTTTCATTTCAACACACTTTTTTTTCAACTCTTTTAACATTCTGTTTTGATAAGAGTTTGCTTGTCCTGTTCTTTTTTTTTTCCTTTTTTTTTTCAAAAAATGCCCTATTATGAATGGTTAGTTTTTATTGTCCATAATATTCTCTAGGACATCTTTTTTGGAGAATAACTCCTACAAGGCTATATATAAAATATAATAAATAGACTTAGATTTTATTTGGTCGGGAATATTAATTGCCTTTTAAAACAGACTTTTTGTTAAAATTGGGTGGTCTGAGGAAAGGGAATAGGAAGAATCTTTTCTGTTTTGCTATCGGCAAAATAAGTACAATAATTTCCATTATTCTTTTTTATTTGTATAACTTTTTTAGTTCAAAACATATATATATATACACACATATAAAAGACAATTGTTAATATTCTTGGCAGTGAATGGAATCCATTCAACGTATAATCTGGACATTTTTGGCATCGGTCCCGTACATTATTCTACATAGATGTTTTATATATATTATCATGGTATATTATCGGGTCCATAATTCTAAGATCTTCATGTATATATTTCATTCTACTGCATTATCATATTATATAATTCAGTCCATAACTATAACCGAATTTTTTCCTATTTTAAGATTATATATAGAGAATATGTTTTTATGCGTATCACCATTTTTTAGATAATATCACGCGTTGTATTGACTGAATTAAATTTATTTTGCTTCTACGTATAACTTTATACGTAAATTTTTTAAAAAAAAAGTTTGAGAAAAACAAAATCTAAGCAGCAAATCGTATATTTTGTAAGGAATATTTTTCCTCCAAATGTCCACAAAATAATATTTCTTTCAAACTTTTGCAGTTCATTGTTAAAGAGACATAACCTATCTAATAACTAAATAAACTGATCAATTTTGTTACAATAATCAATTTTGCATATATATATATATATATATATATATATATAGAATTTGTTCAAATTTTTTTTTATCTATATCAGTGTGAGTGAATACTTGTTTTTATGGATCCTATATAAGTTCATTTGTTTTGGGAGTAAACTCATTCATGAATCAACTATTTCAAGGGAAAACTATAATTCAAACATGGAATCAACACTTCATTATACGCATCTTCTAGCTCCCAAGAAGATCAAGAGAAATATGCATTTTTGTAGCGTTTTGTGTTAGGGGTAGACAATTCGGTTCGAGAATTTAGTTCCGACCCGATCTGAACCGAAATCGAATCGGTCTAAATAATCGGTTCTAACTCAGTATATTTTTTATAGAACCGAGTAAACTGTTTTCGAACCGGTCACGACAAGTATCGAACCAAAATCTGAATTATCAGCCAATACATGTGTAAATTATTATAGGAATGTACTGGAAACACAATATCCAGATGTTAATTATAACTGGACGGTCAAATAATTGTATCCATCTAAATTATAAAATCTAAGAAAACAAATGCAACTGAAACTTATTCAAGACACGAATTAAAATACTATCACCACGTCAACATTACCAGTTATTATGTTCAAAGCTTATTACAATCAAAGAGTACACCACATAAATAAAAGTCAGCAACCAGATTACAGACAAAAAGAGTTGACTTTTTTTTTCCTGGTTTATACACGAAGAAAAAGGGTGTGTGGATCCCTAAATCCCAATAAAATATGATTTCATAAAACGACAAAAAGGGCCCAAACTCCACAAACACATGCATCACAACAAAGTTTGGTTCCCAACTCTTTTTGTCTTCATGTCTTATCACAACTCTGTCTCACTCTCCACCACACAAAACGATCTCCGATCAAACGGACATCGTCGGAGTCGGAGTCATACTCCGGCTGGTGGGCTCCACTCGTCCGGTGGTCTGGCCCCACGGTTTCCCTGACACGTCATCCTCGTCGTTGTACATGTAAGCAAACCCGCCGTGACGTGTCATGTCCATCCCGGCCATCTCATCCTCCGGCGATATCCTGAGAAGCTTTATCTTGTGCAATCCATAAAACAAAGGACCCATCGTGGCAGAGACCCAACCGGCGATCACAAGAATCTGTATTACTTGCGCCGCAAGCAATCTCCCTCCGCCTCCCATAAACAGTCCGTACGGCCGCTCACCGTCGCCGGAATATACCTCATTGACGTATTTCTTGGTTGCGAACAATCCCGTGAAGAGCAATCCCCAGGCCCCACACCCACCGTGAAGCTGAGCCGCCTCGAGCGGGTCGTCGAATTTCAGTTTCTTGGCGATGAAGTTACATCCGGTGAGGACCCACGACGCGAAGAATCCGCACACAATTGCGGCCCACGGCTCCACCACGGCACAGCCAGAGGTTATTGCAGCGAAACCGCCGAGAAGGCCGTTACAGACGTCGATAACGTTCCAGTGTCCAACCATGAGACGTTTGCTGAACAAAGTCGTCAACGCGGCAGTACAGCCGGCTAACGTCGTGGTCACGGCGGTCCGGCCGATGGCTGACCACTGGCCATAGTACGGAAGGTTAACGTCTCCGTACCGTTTCAGTATGGTTAGGAAAGAACCGGGGTTAAATCCGTACCAACCAAACCACAACAAGAACGTACCAAGAACCACGAGTGAAGCACTATGGCCACGTAAGGCCACGGACCGACCCGACCTGTCGAACCGGCCGATTCTTGGTCCTTCGATAAAGGCACCCCACAAACCGGCGATTCCTCCAACCATGTGAACCACACCTGAACCGGCGAAATCAATCGAACCGGAACCGAATAAGAGGTTATTATCGGACCGGGTCGCACTCGCCCAACCATCACTCGACCAAAACCAATGCGACACGATCGGGTATACAAAACCGGTTAAGAAAGAGGAGTATATAAGATACGCGACGAATTGTGTGCGTTCGGCGATTGAACCGCTGGTTATTCCCGCGGCCGCGATTGCAAACGCCCATTGATACATAAAGAAGCTGAAGTCGAAGCCGGCGCCTTCAGGAAATGCGTTTAGGGCGAAGAAATCCCGCTGGCGGCCGATGAAGCCGTTGGAAGGCGTGCCAAAGGCGAAGGGAGAGGTAGTAGGAGATCGCTCCTGCGGCTGCGTCGAGGACGTTGGTGAGCATTATGTTCATGGTGTTTTTGGCGCGAACGGAGCCGGCACAGAGCATGGCGAAGCCGAGCTGCATGGCGAAGACGAGGTAGGCGGAGAAGAGGAGGAAGGTGTTGTCGACGGCGAAGGTCACGTCGGAGAGCTTGCCGGAGACACCGGAGATTTGGCCGCAGATGAATTCGGCGGCGGCGGCTGCGGAGGCAGAAGAGGAGGCGTTCGCAGCGGCAGAGGCGGAGGAGGAGAGGAGGGCCGCGAGGTCCACGGCGGAGCATGTGAGGGACGAGGCGGCGGCCATGGCGGAGAGAGAGAAAGAGAGAGAGAGAGAGGGAGAGAGAGAGAGGTGTGATGGGTGTTCTCTTCTGAGTTTGGTTGGTGAGGGTGTCTTTGGAATATTTATATTGATAAAAAAAGTAGAATAAGATTATAATATGTATATATATGTGTGTCTGTATATATATATATATATATATTATTAAGTTGGAATAAATTAAGAGTTGTGAGTGTTTAAAATTTTGGAGCAGGTTGGGCGAATACGTTTATTGTTGGACAAATCTTGATGGCTTGATTAAACGACTATATATAAATGTGATGTCATTTATTTGGGGCATTATAAAAAATACCCTTAAAATGCTACTTCTACTTCAAGACCTACCCTGATCACATGTGACCAATGTGACCGAAATATAGTATGGTCACATTTTGATTTTTATCGATTATAACGTTAAATTTATGGTGATCACACTAATTCATTATGTTCATACCTTGTATATCTTACTAATCATTTGATTAAAACATCATAAATTTAACGTTATGAACAATGAGATCAATATGTGACCACACTATATTTCGGTCACATTGGTCACATAGTCACAAGGGTAGGTGTTGAAATAGAAGTAGCATTTTAAGGTTATTTTTGATATAATGCCCATTTATTTATGTGTACATCACTTGTTTTTCTTTTATGGGATATAATAAGTACTTTATTTTTCTTTAATGGTATATCGTAAGCACTGTTCATTCATTTATGTACTATATATAGAGATAAAACTATAACATTTTAATCGTGGCAGTTACTAATTAATTATTGAAAATTTAATCATCAAGGTGACACTTATATATATATATATATATATATATATATTACCTTTTAAAACATTTCTTATCTTTAAAAGATAAAAAAAATTGAACCAACAGACAAAAATGTAAAATTTAAGATGATTAAAAATATTTGATTCAATAGTTTTTCTTTTTACTACGAAATGAGAGATATGTAGAGAATAAACGAATATTCAGGAACATTTATGATAATTTTTTGTGATATATTTAGGATTTGAATTTTATTTTAAATGTGAACTTGAGGAATATTTGTTTTTATCATACTGTTAGGATTAATTGCATTTTTTGGTATAAAATTGAGAATATTATCAAAAGTTATAGAATAATTTTTCTAAGGGTAGTTTAAAAAACTATTTGTCTAAATGATGTTTAACTATGGTTGGGCGATCGAGCGGTTCGGTTTAATCGGATTCGATTAATTCTTTGAGTTTTTGAATTTAAAATATTCATATCCAATCGTGTATATTATTTTAATCAGTTCGATTCAAATTCAGATCCAGTTCGGATCGGGTTCGGTTCAAACAAAAAATCGATAAAAAATTCAACTAATTGTCTTATAAAAATACCAAAAAACAACATTAAAATATACGAATATTTCGTTTTCTTATATACTGTGGTTATAAAATAAGATCATTATACTAATTTTTCTAATTAGATTTAGAATATTTTTATATATTAATTGATGATATATAGATGGATAAACGGTTATATTAGGTTACTGTTAATTCGGGTTCAATTTATTCAGTTTACGATTATTGAAGATTTGATTATTTCAGATTCAGATATTTCAGATTTAAAATATTCAAGTCCAATCGGGTATATTATTTTAATCGATTCGGTTCGATTTAGATATATATCGGTCGGATTCGATTCGTTTATTTCAGATTCGATTATTTTGGCCACCCAATGTTTAACTACGAAGATTGAATCGTAAATATATCAACGAATACAGTTGCTGCCGAGAAAGTCTATAATTAGTTAACAAATATTACTATCTTGTATATTGGACCCATGTTCTGATTATCATCATATTAAATCGTATATATATATATATATATACATATATTCGTTCAGATGAAGTTATATCAGTAAATTATGATTGTAATTCACCGTTAATAGAGTACAAGTTTTTTTTTAAATTTCAAATATTATTAATGATTGTATAGTGGATTTGTTATCGATCCTTGTCTGCATGTACTCAATTGGCAATTAAGGATCGAATTTTAAGTTACAAATACGTCAGCATTTTTTTCAGCATATATGTTACACTATTTCGTTACATTGACTATTTATAATACACCATAATTAAATAACTATAATATTCCTTTCAACACTAAATCAATCAGTAATACAAACAAATCACACTTACGAGTTTTCATGATGCAACATGAATTAAATATACAGCATCCGAATCCAGTCTGTCAGTATGACGTTTTACTCTCCATTTTAATATATATATATATATATATATATAATATGAAATATAATAATATTATTATGTGCACTTGTACATCGTCTTGTTTATTGGACTAAAAAGTCCACTTCCCCCCGGCGGGTTCGAATAGCTGCGAGAAATAAAATTAATAGCAAATTTTAGTGAAGTATAATTTTATAATTCGATGTGCTTAGACTATATTTTTTTCAAAATAAATTATTTTACATGCAGACGTCAAGTCACTCGTCACGAGACACACACACACACACATATATATATATATATATATTGTGCGTGTGTGTGTATATGCGGTGAAGACGTGCATGAATATTGGTTAATCACCGATATGATGGATGGATCCACTTGTGGAGAAGAAAACAACTATGAACACATCACATCCGGAAAGACAAATGGCATCATATGGTCCACCAGAGAAAAATATTAATAAATAATTAATATACATATGTTTTCATAATTTTTTTAAAAATGAAATTCTTAAGATAACTCGATGTGAAAAAATGTACACACACATATATAAGGGCATTATTGTAAAAATATTTACTTTACATTTTCCACGTGCGAAAATTCTGTTTTCCTTTTTTTCGGCATCTCAAATTTTTGTTTATATATATATATATATATATATACATGGGCGGACCCAATTGGAGAAGAATAGGGGCATATGCCCCCATTGGTTTGATTAAAAAATTATAATTCCTTTATAAAATTGATCACATTTTAACCAAAATTTATAAATATTCTATTGTAAATTATATTTATCACATGCTAAATTTAATTTTGCCCCCACTTAGAATTTGTTCTAGGTCCGCTACTGTGTATATATATATATAAATGGACGGTTCACGGTCCATTGGAGTTATACAAAGAATTCTTACTTTTAATGATTACTGGCTTGTGTCGATCCACGAAAAAGGGAATAACACAACACTTTCTTTTATTTAAAATCACGTAAATGTATACAATTATATTTAAATATAATTGTGCATTATTCATATTACTCACACATACACACACACATATGTATACAACATAATGGAAGTGCCCGATATTATTACTCATTTTCCGAGTGCTTTTTCACAAATAATTTTTGCTACCAAAAATATATAGTTGAATTGATAGCATATAATTTTAAATTATTTCGGTCATTATTTTCTTCATAATTCTAGTTGAAATATACAATACTTCAATCATATTCAAATAATTAATCTTTACAATTGTATTTTACTATTATAGAAATTATCATGATTTTATTTAACGATAATTTTAATGATTTAAGTTTTCTAATTTATTATATATTTAGCAATTTCAATTATTATCTACATGATTTATATTTAAGTGAGATTCTATTTATTTTTTTAATTTCTTTTAAGAACAAAAAATATGGAAAAAGTGTTGGAATCGTGAGTGTCGAAATTTTTATACATTGCATGAAACACTTAATACACTTGTATAGGGATAACATTTTTAGATTTTCAGAGAATCTTTCTATATAAATCATAGAATATATTCGAGAATATATCCTAATATAAACAACCAGTTCTTTTAATTATTATGAGTTTGGACGATATTTTTTTTATAACTCTTTAAGTTTTTCGTGTCTTCAATTCGAATACATCTCTTGAGGTTAAGAACCAGTCTGTGTATCGTAAATGGGACTTCCATTCCCAACCCACGGCTCAAATATAGAATTTGAGATAAGGATACTCCACCCTTCTCAAATAGTTATACCACTCGGCTGCGTTCTTTCGGATAGTTTGGAGATATAGACATAACAATATATGTGGGGAAATAGGGTTTGATTTATATATAAAAGGATTCTCAAGAGTTTACATAATAATTTTAAAAAGAAAAAAAAAAGTCCTTTTAGTAGGAATGAAATGAAATGAGGTTCCCTTCTATCACGGCGAGAAGCAATTACCAATTATTATACTTTCATAATTATAACATAAATGCCTTTTCTAATTCCAAAATTAAAAGCATTAAAATTTTGATACGCAGGGAACCCAAAATTAAAAGCATCTGTTCAGATCAGACGTTTAGTCTCCGACAACTTGTATCACATTTTAAGATAGTTAATTAAAAGTCGCACCAGACATCTCCGGTCTTTGTTTTTTTTCCATATATATATTTTTCAATTGTTTATAAAACTTTATTCTTTTTATAAAATTATATTTTTAAAATTTTTGCATTTATTTTTTTAATTTCGTTAAAGTTTAATATATATATATGTATAATTTTTAAAGTTTTTGTGTTATTATATATTTTGATTATTTTAAAAATTAGAAAATTTAATATGTTTGAAATATAATAACATATTATTTGATTTGTTTGCATTTAGTTTTACTAAAGATGCATTTTAAAAAAATTTCGTGAAATTTCCAAATAAAATATAACAGAGTTACTAGTGATAACTTAAAAACACATCTTATAAAAAAAACTTAAAAAGACGTGCAGTACGTCTCCACTTACAAAAAAAAAAAAAAAGATTTTATAAAATGATTACTTCTAAATTTTAATTAAATCACAAGAGGCACGAAGCCCTACGTTTTGCATAGGGACCTTAACACTTTTTTTTCAAGTTATTTGATTTGTTAATAGCGCAATTATTAGAGTTTAAGAATTATTAATTTTTCGTCAGCAGATATTAAAATAAAGTTTAAGTAGTTAATGCATAGGGTCGGTTGCCTGATAAATTTGACTTGTATTATATCATACTAGTTAAATTAATTAACTCATAAAAGAGGCCATCTAATCTAATAATACATATAGTTTTTCAATGATCAGTTAAATTTACATTTATTTCCAAAAAAATACAGTGTCTATATGAAATATTTTGTTTTAAAATAGTGTTATTCAATATAGTATCATTCTAATTTTTCTTCTGTATATATATATATATATATATTGTTCTTATATTTTTTGAATTTCCTACGGAATCCAAAATTTAATAATAACATATAAAAAGTTAACATAAAAATATTCAATATGAACCGTTTTTATTAAAGTCTGGATGTTAAGTTCATCAATCTCTCTAAATCCGTAATGAATTTGTTCCATTTATAACACTAAACTCTAAAAATTTAAAAATATTGTAAGAAACATTATATATTTTAGGTAAAAAAAACATTATATATTTCCAAATCTATCTATGAACTTAAAATGGAATCGAAGACAGCACACATACACAAAAATAGATTAAAACCAGATATTCAACTCTTTTAATTACCTTAAAAAGGAATTTATGAATAAAATAATAGGAAACTGTGTTTTTATATAACAAATCACGTGTTGGAACCGTGTCTGTCTGTCTTTCTTCTCCTCTACTCGAATTTCAAAAGCCAAGCAATAATTGTTGGCAAAGTCAAAGATTCGAAGAATCCAATATATATATATATATATATATCATAATCAGAAAAGATCAATAAATGGACTCTATTCTTTTTTAAATTCAAAAACCAATAAATGGATGTCTATGAATTTCTCTTTTTTATCACCCTTTTGTTGTAAATAATCATATTCACTGCTAAGCCACTTTGCCAAATTAAATGTCTGAATTATAGTAGATATTTTAGCACTCTTATTATTATTTTTTTTAATTTACATTTTTTTAGTTTTGTCTATTTTTACACTGTATTCATTCATATTCTATTTAAATTTGATTTTTATAAAGAAGTATTCATTTTTAAAGGAATTTCTATTTATTCATTTTTCTCAATTTATTTCAGTCTATATTCTACTAGTTTTTTGAAAAAATCATATTTATTATTTCTTATAATAAATTGGATTTCAAGTATGATTACTGATTATTAGATTTTAATTTAATTTATTTATTAATAATCGAAATAGTCATTTTACCTAAATAAAAAGGAAAAAAAGTGTATAGATGGAATGTGGAGAGAGACGCTTTCGAGTGATCCATTAAAAAATTAAAAAAAGATAAAGACTGGAGGGTGGGGAAAAAAGACAAATAATAAGCAACTTGGCTTATATCCACTAAACAAATCGTCAAAAAAAAGGAGAAAAATTGTTTGAAATAAACTCCAATAGTTCAAATATAATATTAGTACAATTGACCCGTACAAACAATAATAATAATAATAATAACAACAATAATAATAATAATAATACTAAACTTTGCAATTTTAAAAAAAAAAATACTGAATTTTATTTTTGTCAAATAAATATTAAACTTTTTAAATGAACTTTTGAAATGATCGAAAAAATACATGAACTTTTCTGCGATTATAAAAAAAATACTGAATTTTTTTAATGATCCAAAAAATATATAATTTTTTTTTATTATAAAAAAACTAAGTAAAATAATCTGACGTGTTTACATCTCATGGTGTTCTGTCATTTATTTTGTTTATTTTAACAATTGTAGAAGAGTTAAATGTTTATTTTGTCAAATATAAAAAATTTAATATTTATTTAATAAAATAAAAAATTCATTGTTTTTTTGTCAAAATTTGAAGTTTGAGTATTTTTTTTTTTGGATTTTCCCTGGTAATAATAGTCATAATAATAATAAGTTGGACCTTGTCTCAAAAACCTTGTTTCCAAATCTTCTTTCCTTCGATTTTTAGGGAAAATCTCAAATAACAAACATAGTGATCGTTACACAAACACAGGTCATAGTGATCTTCATAAAATGATTCAGCTGTATTAATTAAAAAAAAAAGAAAAAAGAAGAAAATGTACTTCGTTCAGACACAAACTCACTTCTCAGTCCATGAAACCTCTGCGTCTGTCTCTAGACATGCTTGCCGGTCGCATTTTCCATATTTACAGCCAAAGATCAGAGTACCTTTACCTATCCTTCGTTTCGGGTTTCAATCTTTATCCGACGAAAGCTGCCTAGCGAGTAGGAGAAGTCCGATCGTTGCAAAGCCAGACAGCACAGTCGACGAGTAGAAAATGGCAAGAAGAGCTCCTCTCAGAGACTGCGTCATCATTGACAAAGACAAAGAAGGTTGATGAACACAAACGCCGATCCCAGGTAAAAATGCCAATTAAGTGTCGGATTCATCGACTGGTACATAAAAGAGAAACACAAAGTTTCACACTTTTGCGCCATTCATATCCGGGTCCTATGATTCATAAGCTTTTCATGTGTTCCTAACTCTTTCCCTAGTTCAATACCAAGATACGAAACGTCATATGTTCGTCATTTTCTAAATTAGTGGATGATTTTCAGCATTGAGTCTTTCCCTTGATATCTGAAGGGGAACTGACTCTTGTAGCTAAAAATGATGACAAGTTGTCTGAAAGATCGACCCTATGATGCTTTTCAACTAACCTTAGCAAGTACCAACGCGTTGTCATTTGCATACTGCAATGAGCTCTCTGGTATGTTTTGGATCCCCTGACTGATTTGCCATGAAAGAAACCTGTATTTTTTGTTTTTTTTTTTTCAGATATGGATGGTATTTTAAAGAAGGTTATATCCATGTCCTTGCAGAATAACAGGCTGAAAATTCAGAGGTCAAGATTTTGAAAAGAAAGAGCGAGAGAAGTACCCGAAGACGAATCCAATAGCAGCTCCAACATATCCTTTCTCTGCTGTCACTGCAACTTGAAGCTCTCCAAACTGCAGAACAAAGCGGTGTTTCCTATCAAGTACTCTGGAATCAAAGAAGCGGCTCAGGTGAACAATTAGAACAAAACACCCATTATATACTACCTTGAACATCCTAGTTTCTGGCTTCGACTTCTCATTGGTTGAAGCAGATAGCGAACTTGCTGATAGAGCCTTTCCAGTCGTAATCATAGCTTTTGCAATCTGTGAGTTCTCAACCAAGTAAGCCGCTGGTCTACATGAACGAATGCATATAGTGACTCCTATTTAACATAATACATGGAAGACTTGTATTGATTCATGATATCAGATGAGAAGAATAATCAACATTTAAAACCAGTATGCGAAGGCTTATCTACAGAGCTTTCCCTTGGTATAAATTCTTTGAAAACCCAATCAAACAATCGGTAGAAGCAACTGCACCTACATTCGAGATCTTTCAGGTACCTTCTGAAGTTCACCTTGACCATACTGTCCCATGCCCTGGAACCTTCTTCCAGCGGATAACAGACGCCTCCCAAGGGCTGAATAAGAGAACTAAAATGAATAGGCTTCCAAGAGAATTATTGCAAGAATATGTACTGCTAGATTACAGGGCTGCCTCTGTTACCTGATCTGGCACTCTCCGTCAATGAAATTTCCACTTCAGGAAGCTTTCCCACCAAACTACGAGAAGTAGATGTGTCTGCCAGTTCCCAAGCCCGAGAGAGATTTAGTAAGATCTCCCCCAGCTCTCGCCCACACTAGAAATAGATAAGAGAGGTTACACAGATAATTTTGGTTCACATACATCGCCTGCATATGGGCAAGGTGCACCCGAAACTTGCAACTGTTTCCAAGTTCAATGTTATGAAGGCTCAAACTGTCATTATCCAGCTCACAAAATTATTTAAAAATGAAAAAAACCCACGAAAATATAGCGAAACAACATGCCGAATCAGCGGTTTACACCACAGAAGAGAAAGAAAATGAACTAAAAACATAGATCGTGCAAGATTCTTTAGAAGTAAAAGTGAAAGGTGACAGTGTTGTCCCTTCTGCTCGGACTGATCCCAAAAACTAGAAACAGGAAACTGAATAAGGAATGAAATGCATTTCTTTATCTTACACGTTGTTTCGAAATTCACATTGATTCGCAGTACTTTTGGGATCAACAGAGACAACTTACTAAACAAAGTGATTGTCCCTACAGCAGATGTTTTGCTCATTAAGCTCGTAAACTGAATAACTAGAACAAATAACACTCTAATTCACATTTACATATAGTAATCTGTAACCAGTACAAGGACGCAACGCTAACCTCATCAATGACGGGTCCATTGGAAAGATCGAATGCGGCATCATTCAACTGAAAAACCAAAGACCCATCACATCCAACGTTGCGAATCACACAAAGAATTAGTCTTTCAAGAGAGAAAATCTAGAAAACTAGGGTTTACATCAAGCCGAAGATCACGCGGCAGCTGCTGAAAGAAATCTGAAGGAAGATCGAAACAACTCTGCAAAACAATTCGAAACCCACGATGCGAAATTCAATTCGACTTGTGGAAAGTATACAATAACCATCGATAATGCAATTTCGCTTACAGAGAGTTTTTGAAGAAGGGTTTTGGGATCGGGTTCAAGGGATTTCGGAGAATCTGATTCCGTAAGAGCAAATGGGATTGTCAGAGATTTCGAAAGGTTGTAGTTTTTGGAGATTAAGGGCTTTAATGACGTCGAAGAAGGGATTGAAAGTAGATTTCTGCTGTAGAATGAAGTAGTGGAACAGTGAAGAGGTTGTAGGAGATGGAGAGAAGCCATTGTTGTTCGTGCTCCAATTGCAATGATATTTTAGTGTTTTTCTTCAATGAAATTTAAATAAAATTAAAAAGAAAATCAAAAGTTCTGGTTTCGAGGCTTTCAATTTTGTCCAAAGATATTGGTCCCAAGTTGTGAAGAGGAAGGTTTTTATTTATTTATTCAATCAATCAAATGTAATTAAAAAATTTAATGAGGTATATTTGTTAAAATTAAATTATTAAATCTAAATTAAAATTAACTAAAATACTAAAATAAAAAAAAAGTATTTTTTATTAAAAATTTAAACAGATCTCACAATAAAAATAGATATAAAAATCCAATCAATTATTATTTTTACAAAAACTAAAATTATATTAAAAATAATCAAATCAAATTACAAAGAACTCCAAAGTAACAAATTTAAGCAACAGCTAATATCGTAAACTGGAATGAATGTCTGTTTTTACAAAAACCAAAATAATTTTCTGAAAATGAAAAACCACTTTTGCAAAAGTCGGAGCGTCAACGCCCAAGTGAAGAAAACTGTTAAGGAGAGCCAACATTTGTAACGCTACAAGTCTTCATCCTCATATAACAACATAATACCAAGAAAAAGCATGTCTCCTCTCCATCTATCTTGAGCCATAGCGTCTGTTGCTTCAACTGCCCACTTTGGCAACTTTTCTTTGCTCTATTTGGCCTGACAATGGACACTGCATCTCTGTCCAACTTATCGGAACCATTGCTTCACCTGAAAAATCATCGGAAAATGGCATGGATATCTCATACTTGGAGAGAAAAAGTCGAAAGCCGAACTAGAAATACAACCTACTAAGCATGGATCTAACTATATTTCACATTAAAGTTGGGCGAGGAGGATTAGGCGGGTTTTGATGATTGCCTCAAAGTCCGACTGGGATTCGGAGATTAGTGGCCAAAAGTAGAAGCTTAGACAGAAATCAGTCCAAGTGTCCAAAATTCAGCAACTAAGGCACAACGAAAACTCACATCTAAGTGAGAACAACAAGAAAGATGCAGAAACGTCTGTTTTTCATTGATTTACAAGAATAGAAGAAAAATATTATTACCTGCAGCGCTCTCTGCTGAGACCACACCAAGTTCATTCTTAGCGGTTGAGAGATAGTAAGCTCGTGCATCGCCCAGAGACAACTTTAAGAATCTAAGTTAAGTCGACTCTATAAGCTGTACTTGAAGTCTTGAACGGAATTAGAAATAATACAGAGCAAAAACTACTGCAAGTATACTTAATTTAAGAAGAAGGTTATACCAAAAGGTATTTAGGTGGTATTTGACAAACAGAAGGGTAAGGTAGCTGCCAAAGCTCGAGCGTCAAAACCGGGTAATGAGAGGTCATTACAGGACGAGTTTAAGCTTATAAGGATACAACCATGGCTCTAACAATGTCTCCAGGACGGAACGATAGATGCATGTCAACTTTATCAATCTCAGTAGCTCTAACATCTTGTTGCCTGTAATAAAGAAATATTCTTTAGATTTCCAAAGCAATTCAACTTGAAATAAACATGAATGAGTGAAATTTATTCACCTGATTATGCCAGTGAATTTTTCACGCACAGCCTTCGGACCAACGCACATGATATCAGCAGCTGCCATCCGTGCCATAACCTTAGTCACCTATCAAATATTAAGGAGGAACATGATCAGAATGGACACTTTTCCACCAAATAAGCGAATTCTGCAGCTAAGATATATATGAATTACCCGCGCAATGATAACAGAATCAGGCTCTGGAACTGGGCCATGTGCTTTGTGACCCACAACTTCTACAATTGGCCTCTGCAAAACAATTGTAAGAAGAACAGAACACAAAATTTAGTCCAATCGTAAGTGGAAGAACATTCACTAACAAAACCGAACCAAATCCCACAACCGTGCTTTTGAACAGAATAGAGAATTACAAGATGATCGAACTACAGCCCTACTAAGGAAATCTTTTCACTGAATGAGATGGGAAGACAAACACATCAACCAAATGATCAACTTCTGCCCTAGAAAATGAAACACACCTATTTTACTTGCCCTTGCCAGAAAAATGAGAACGCATCAAACCCATCTCTCTCCGGCATACAGAGGCAAGAAACACTTAATTCTTTGTTTAGACAACCCTAAAACAAGCAAAACATTGAAGAAAACGTATGCTTACAAACCCATCAACAAAATCACAAGAACGACCATCGGTTCCATCTTTCTGCTGACCAGCCGATAATAGACATCACATTTCATCTTTGCTACACTGTCAATGACAGAAATCAAAGAAAGATTCTGACAGAGACCCAGCAACTGAGGAGTGGAAACGAACTCAAATGATAAACCCTAAACCCAGAGAATCGGCTATATCACCAAACAATTCGGAAACACCCAACTTTAAACGGGTCGGAGTTAAAACCAGAACCCTAACCAGGTCATCGGATTCCGGAGCCGGCGAAACAATACGGCGGATTCCGGTGAGCGAAGCGTAGATTGTGTTGTCTCCGGGAGGGACGTATGCACCTTTTCCGGCTTTAAGCTCCGTCGATTTTCCAAGTACCTCTCCCGGTGTCACCATCTCCGGTTGCTCAGCGGTTTTCATTCTCAGGCAGCTTCACTTCGTCCCCAGGATTCCTCTTTGATTGATGTCGTTTAGGTCATTCTCCCTTTTGAAATACATGTCGTTTAATAAATAATTAAATTTACTAAAAAAGTCATATTTTAAAAGGAAAATCCCAAAAAAAAAACATGAACCGTATAATTTTGACAAAAAAAATACTAAATTTTAGTTTTTGTCAAATAAACATTAAACTTTTTAAATCAGTCTAAAAAAACACTGAACTTTTTAAATGATCCAAAAAATACATAAACTTTTATACGATTATCAAAAAAACACTGAACTTTTTCAGTGATCCAAAAAAATACATGAACTTTTTCTGATTGTAAAAAAAAACTAAGTAAAATAATCTGACGTGTTTGCATCTAATTGGGCCACGTCATTTATTTTGTATCTAATTGGAACACGTCATTCATTTTGTTTATTTTGACAATCATAGAAGAGTTAAGTATTTATTTTGTCAAATTTAAAAAGTTTAATGTTTATTTGATAAAATAAAAAGTTTAGTGTTTTTTTTATCAAAATTGTAAAGTTCAGTATTTTTTTTTGGGATTTTTCCTATTTTAAATATATTATAAAAATCTATCATCTATTAATTTTTAATAAAAATACTATCAACCAGTTAATTTACTAAAAAATCTTCTATTTTAAATAAAATCCAACAGTTTTTTTAAATAGTTCATATTTATACTTTGTTTTAAACACTTTGTTTTTACCAAAATATCAAATTGATAATATAAAACATGGATAAATCATAAATATTATCAAATTTTATATACATTTATGATCCAATATATCATAATAGAGTACCTATTTAAAGAATGGATATTTAAAGACAGGGCTCTACAAGTAGTATACCGCACCAATTGCCAAGAAACAAAAAGATTAAAAAGCAAGTGTCAAACAATCACAATGTATACTTTAGCGACAATCCATTAACATCAATAAACAGTTGCAGACAGAGAAAAAAAAAATCCATTATTGAATATCATAATACCCAAATCAAAAGTGAAAGGGAATGTAGTTTCACCTTTAGAATAACACAACACTTGCTCAACATGAGGGAGGAATCATCTACCAAAACCGGGACTTGAATTGTCAATAATACATGTAACCAAACGAAAATTGCTTCTCAATGTTCAAATCTTTCTTGGGGAGACGCCGGAAAAAAAAGAGAGCGAGAGAGTCCTTGTAAAAATCAAAACCAGGTAAATGCATATATGTGCTCTTTCAAACCCCCGTGTACTGCTGCAATGAGAACGAGGAATGAGAGAGCTATGGCGGAGAGCTCACTTGCGACGAGATTAAACCCGATACAGGCTTCTCTTGTACGGAAACAACATTAGTTCCTCATCCACTTCCGTTCTCGCCTTCACTGTCATCGCTATCATCGCTGCGAATGTAAATACACGCTTACACGAGTTAAAAAGAGCGCGTATACCAGAAACCCAAAGACATAGTTTTACCAGAGTTTGGGATGTAGGAGATGAAATTACAAGCACAAAGGTGTTTGAAAGATATGGATGTATCACCGTATAAAAAGCGTTCTAGATTTAGATCATGCTCATAAAAACACGTCGAATGGGCTCAAAATGCTTGTGTCGAATTTCAGTTTCACTGGTTTTTTCTTCTTCTTAGAGGTGAGGGGCAAGTGGACTAGAAGATAAAGTACCTGTGTTCAGGTAACTTGGCTAGCCGTCGAGCATCCAAGCCAGTGATATACTTCTGAGCAGCTTGAACATTATCTGTGCCTGGACAGACCGTTAAAAGAACGATACAAAACTTATTACAATCTACCATTGTTGAACAATTTAAAATTGCAGGGGCATGAAAAATGATTGATGGTTAATGACAATATCAAATGTGTGTGTATATATAGCCAAAAATATTAATACCTTTAGTTAATTGGAACACATGCACAGCACATCTTTCAGCAGAAAGTCTTACAGGAGTGCTTCCATCCTTCAAACATTCGGCAAGAGGAGGCCCGATAACACCCACATTTGCAGTTGTTGCTGCGGGGGAAGCCTGCAAAAAGTTGTTTCAGCAGTAATATTATTATTATTATTACCCGGAATTCACAATTGAATGAACAGATTAATACGAATATAAGCCACTTACTTTTGCAAAAGCTTTAAGCGAAGACAATGCTCTTCTTCGGACTTCACTGGAGTCATCATGCAAAGCCGAGACTATCGATGAGAGGACTTCCACTACTACTTTTCCGTTGGAAGGATCCGTCTTGACCTGATGCAGCAGAAGTCTTCCCAAAGCCTTGGTTGAGGTTTCACGTAATGGGAACTGTTCGGAAGTAATCGTCATGAGAACAAGGTATAAATACAATAAAGAAGAAGGTTTTTTCCCCCGAGAGGTACCTTCTCGTCTTTTACAGAGTTCTTGAGAGAATATAGCATGGAGGAAAAGACTGAAGACGTGAAGATGGTCGAAGGGTTGTGCTTCAGTAAGGACGAAATAACGAGTAATGACCCGTGCCGAGCTCCCCAGTTTTGTGAAGTAGATAACTCTTTTAATTCCTCAAGCAAATGACTCAATTGCGCAGCTTCCAAATACTGTATCATGAGAAAGTTCTCAACTAAGCTCCACCAAAGTATAAACTGATATCACAGTTCTGAGTTTACATTTAAAATGCTAATTCATACAACATTTCATATCAGCAGAAACAAGTCCTGACCACCAAATTCACAGTTTTAAAAGTTGCCATGTAACTGCAATTGCTTAACATTTCGATAGGAATGTGATCTTCCAGAAATTGAAAACTTAACACGAGGATATTACTATAATCAGTATTTATGAGGCAAATGTCAGTGAACCGGAAACAGGCAACTAAGTAGTAGTAGGAAGGACCTTCTAAGCATGAAAAGCGTACCTGTGATAAAACACCCAGCATATTTGCAGCAGAAATGCGAACTTGGTCATCATCATGGTGAATCAAATTTCTTAGGAGATCAAAGACACGTGTTCTGACAGCAGGACTAACGCTCTTTCCGGCATGCTTTATTACGCCTCTTAAAGCAGTTAAGATAGCATCTCGTACCCCAGAATCTGCAACCTGATATACATATCAAATTGGTTAAAAAAACATGACTGCATGAATAACTTCAAAGAAAATCAGTATGAATTCACCAAATTTAAGCAGTGTAAAGAAAAATTTACCTGGAAACTCGTAATTAGGTCTCCGACTAAGGGATCAACCCTGGGGCTTAATGCACTGAGCTTGCCAAGGGCAAGGGCAGCGCTGGAGCGGATGGTCCTGCAATTGTAACGGTGTCAAGACGGGTATGGTGACCAAGAAAACTGATTAACGGATCACAAGTATTAAGAAATCCAATTACGTCACTAAAAAATACATACAATAGGGAACATTGACCATAGACAGCTCCTTTCTTTATCAAGAAAATGAAATACGCAGTTCTCCGAAAGAAAAAGTAACATCCTTGTACACCCACCTCAAACTTTAAAAAGTCCTACCAAGAATTTTATTCTTTTATCACTTTACCTTATTTTTTACATCCTCCAAACAACGCAAAATATAGTAGGCCAAAAGTACTATAAATACACTTATCTCACCCGACCCTGTTTTATATGTTAGATACTAACCTTGTAGAGTCTTGCAGACATTTGACGAATGTTGTCTGAAGTTGAGGAAGGAATGGTTTAAGGGCCAACCCACCCTTCTCTATTAGGATCGTAAGTGTTGATAATATAGCGCTCTTGACCTGCCATGGGAAGCGATCTCCTATGATTCGGATAAGAGGCCTGAAACAGCCAGTACAAGTATATCAGCTCAGGATTAACAATACTTAACAAAGTTACAGGGCATTGTATTGTAAGATCAAAGATTTTCAAATTTCATAAACAGTTCCCCTAAATCCTGACGGTCTGTAGCTAGATAGCTGTCTCCAATAACAACATGGAACTTCGAAACAAATCAACCCAGCGAAGCAAAACTCGACGACCTTTATCAGGCAAATGTATTTATACAAGGAAAGTAAATTCACACTCTGCATACCCTGTTATCGGTATGACAAACGCTTTCAATGCTTGCTCGCTGGTCACTTCAATAAGCTCACCAAGACCAATAGCAGCTTGCTCTCTCAATTCAGCAGATCCACTAATAAGACCCTGAAATTTGTACACAACAATAAAATAAAAATTGAGCCATTATAAAAGGTTTGTATAAACGGGTAAATTCGAACACAAACTAAACACAAAACAACTGCTCAATCAAGCTGTTTAGTATATGAACCTGGCTAAAAATATATGAACCTGGCTAAAGAGTAGGAATGGAACTGAGAAAGGTGGGGGTGATTTATGAACAAAAAATATATGAACCTGGCTAAAAAAATATGACCAAAATCACCCCTAACCTTAGCAAGAATAGGCTCGATTTGACTAGCACCACAAAAGACAAGCTCGAGACTATTTAAAGGATCTGATATCCGAAATAGATCCTTAGTTTAAAAAAGCGTGCTGCGTCACGAGGCGCATAAATCATTTTTGTATCAATATATAATATATATAATATAAATCATATCGTTTAATATGTTTAGTATATATTGATATATACATAAATCTGAAAAAACAAATTCTTTATTTTTCAATATAACATGTATTATAAATATGAATATATGAATATAAGCTGTATAGTATAGATTTATATATATACACAAAAAAATTGATCATATATTGTATTAATCTATATCAATATAAATGATATTATCACTTGAAAATAGAAAACTAAAAATCAGTCATAATCAACTGAAGTTGAAATATACTGACAATGTTATAACTGATATATCTATAAATGATCTTATAAAAACGATACATTTAAATAATTATGGTTAATATATATGTATATATTTTAAGCTTTTTCAGTTTTTCTTCTACTTACTTTTACTTGTACGTTTCTCGAGTTCCTCGATTCGATCACCTTTTTTTTTAAATTTGTTCTCGTGATTTGACCAATCTTTTTATTTTTAGTAACTATTGACTATACATATAGGAGCACTTAAATGTTTATAGGAGTAAGCGCTGTTCGTCTTCTCCTATTTCTTTCCAAAGAACTGTGCTAAGTCCTCCATTTTCATGTCTTTCCTAAATTTTCATTTCTTTTTTGTGCTCTGTCCTAGAGACGGCTGCCTCCCGCCTCAGGCGGGACTGTGCTGGAGGCACGGCTAGAGAAGCCTCTCGGACTTCACTTTGCATCTGCGTTTGGAGGCGATTTTCATCTCGCCTCTACGTTTCAGTGCCTCAAGCGCCCCTACTAGGGCGGGCTTTTTAAAACTAAGAACAGATCAATCATCTAGAGTACCTGTAGAAATACTGGAAGCAAAGGTTGAAGAGCTTTTGGAAGGCTGAGACCAGGAATAACAACCTGTCCTCCCTGCAATTTTAATTAACATAAAAACATAGATTAAGTAAAATTAGTTGCCAAACTAAAGATATCACCTCATTCATAAAATTGCACTTATAGAGTGATATTAATCTGAAACATATAACAACTTCACCTTCTTTTTCCTGCGTTCTTTATCTCTGGCTGTGGATACAGCATCACGCACAAGTTTTATATATGAAGGAAGTACTTCCTTTGGAACTGAACTAACGACCCTTGATAAAGCCTCCCAAGAAACCTGTTGCCAACGGTTGGTAAAAGATAAGACATGAAGGAGTAACTATCAGCTACATCCAGTTTTGGTCAAATCCCTTACCGCAACGGTAGCTGAATCTGAATCACTGAGCATGACAATCAAGGTGGATATCATATTTGGAGCTTCATCAACCAAATAAAGCTTGCTGTTTTTGAAGAAGTAACCAATTAGATAGGATGAACTTCTTCTTATTGGAGCCTGAAATGGAACAAATAAGAAAAACTTAAGTATCTCACATGCAGAGAAAAATCTATAAAAAAGAATGCTTATGAACCAACCTGACTATCAGAAATTCCTTTGAGAAGTTCAGAAAATAAAATCTCAACGCCTTCTTCGTCAATGACAAGCACCACCATTTCTGCTGCCTCTTTTGCCAATCCTTGAACCTCCTGTTACAAGAAAAGGAATCTTAACCCCATGAACAAATGACTTTCACATATAATATCAGCATAAAAAGACAATAAGATTGTTATACCTTGTCTTCACCTCCCATTGCCGAAAGCAAAGCAGGAAGTACAGTTCCAAGATGATTGCTAAGACCAGGGCCTGCAACTTCTGCTAATGCTCCCAAAGCATGCGCATTGAAGGCACTACAAACAACATTTTCAAAAGTTATAGAGAAACAAAGATCGCCAATTCAATGCCTCACGTTGCATAATTATAAATTGAGAAAAAGGAAACGCATACGAGAGAGGAAGATGGACAAGCTTGGGCAGTATATGGGGAAGAACAGCAGAAGTCCTGACACTGAAATAAACTACAATTTAGTAGTCAACAGAACCATGAAAGAGGGTAGAAAACAGACTGAAAACAAACACTAAAAGAAAACCTTATGATTTGCTTGAGTCCATCCAGAGCGGTATCAGATGTTTCATCATCCTCTAATGCATGCAGAAGAGTTGGGATGATCTCATCAATAGCTTGCATTCCAGCACTCTACAATTTTTGAACAGAAAATATATAAACCTTATAAAACTTTTTGAGCTGAAGAATATTCTATAAAAGACACAAGGGCCAGATTTCATACTTTGTAAAGAGTACTGAACGCTAATCCAGCAGACTCGCGAACATCAATTACACTGTTGACAAAAGTGGCAAATGGTAAGCGATAAAAATATTATTTCTAAAAGAAAGAAATATACTGAAACAAGAAGCCAATCGATCAGAAAGAAGGCGAACCTATCACAAAGTGCTGTCCGAATGGTAGGAATGAGCTCATCCATGAAACTTAGCAACTGACTCTTACCAGCACTCGCCATAACTTCATTCAGTCCAATGCACACACCCTGACAGTCAGGTACGATCACATCAACTCAAGAGTCACAAAACAGTAGAATCTACACACAATACAGCAGATCTCACAACCAACCAACAAAAAACCTTGCGGTCATATCTAGCTCCATTTATTTCGATAGGAAAAACACAAAAATTATGTAAGTAACCAGCTAAAATGACCAAAAGCTGTTTGACCTCTTAAATAAAGATACACAAAAAAAAAACATGATTCACATGCCAGCGCCCAGCGGTAACTATTTTAGCCCAAATAATACACTTAATTAAAACACAGTAGTTAACCAAAACCGATAGATGAAAATTAATTTATCATGATCGCAAGGCTTACTTGTCTTCTGCTAGCATCAGGATCCTTCAGTCCTTGAGACAAAATTGGAATGATAAGAGGAAGCACCCTTTCACCAAGCTTCCTGACCAGCTCTCCAAGTGCTCTTCCTGCAACCTATACCACGCAATAGCCTTAAGTAACTCCAGGGTGAAACACTAAAGAAAAAGCTAACAGTATAATTCAAACCTGTCGCCTCTCAGAGGATGGTGATGCAAGGGACGAAATTAAGGTATTCATCAAAACTGGCATTATTTCCTTCAACGTCTTTGGTGTATTTGCTACAATGGTTTTCCACACATGCAGTGCAGCCTGAACAGAAAGCAGAAAATACATTTATCTCAAAACTTATTTCTTTCACTTAGAAACAACAAGTAGGTACATTGTTAACAGTGTTACCTGGCGCACAGACAGACTAACGTCAGTCCGAACCATATATAATGCAGCAAGGACTTCATTGCGCTTGCCCATTCCTAAAACATCAATAATTGCACGACCATGGGCTTCAGTGCTTGCACCTTCATCATCACTTCCACCCTCAAGCAAAGCTTTACCGGATGTACCAGCAACCTAGAGAAAACCATGACATAAATGAAACAGTCAAAAGATCCACATCAATTTACTCCCGATCCAGAGACTAGCCGTTCTTCAATATTGCTTAGTGCAATCTAATATTATTTTCATTTCCGTGCTTTTTCGTCCCATTCTAAACACATATTAAGCGCAAATTTTCATCAAGGCAAATAAAATACTACAATTACGATGACTGCAAGAAGCTTACAGGATGACACTCACTGCTTTCTGAGTTCGCTATATTCATACACTGCGATTAACGATTTCGAAAAGCATGATAAACAAGTAAAACACAACATGAAGATGCTAAAGAAAACCTTGAACAATAGATCTCCAAGCAGTTCCACAGAACTTTGACGAATTCGCCAATTGTCATTGAAAATACCATCCTCCACGGCTGGAAGAAGAAGAGGCAGAGACCTGTAACAAAAAGAAAAGAAGCTACTATTAAAGCCTGATAGGATAATAAAACTTTGAGAAACGAGATTGCCATGCTCACATATCAACAATCAATCGGAGTTCACGCAACAGTGTTTCCATATTGTTCATCAGAGATCATTAATTTATGAATTACAAATGCTTCAAGAGAAACAATAATGCTCTTGTGCAGCACAATATTTAGAAACATATCACAAGTATGCAAACCATATCAACTAACAGATAGTGCAAGACATTACTAAAGCAAGTTAGTATATTGTCTCCACGAAACACAATGAAGGAAACATAGGATAGGAACTCATACGTCGTTGCATGGTGCTCCACCAGCACATGGCCAGCCCCCAGAGCCGCATCACGGACAGATTCATTCTCATCAGCAAGACCTGAAGTATAATAACACAACAATATTTTATGTTTAATGAATCCAAAAATTAAGTGGAAGCTGTTTAGAATATTAAATTCATCCACAAAGATATAGTTCACCATCCAGAATTGCCGGTAATACTTGCTGCAAGTAATTCTGAAATTGAGCACCCAACGACCTCGGCAAGTACTGCAATCAATAAAGCAAAAAGAATAAACAAAATGTCGAAAACCCAGATAACAAACTTCAAGTAGATAAGAAACCATAGGACCCATTGAAATTACCTTGAAGAGTGTCAGGTATCCATCACGGACAGACGCTTTCTGATGAGAACAATGCCGGATGATATCAGGAAGTACATCCTCAAAGTACTCTGTTCCAAGAGCAGCTAAGACCTGAAGATTGTTGAAAAATAAAGTTGAACAAGAAAACAGAGACATTTGAGAACAGTGATTCCGAATGTTACCAACCAGACAAAGAATCAGTGCAAACAACATATATAAAGATGTATCTGTTGCCTGTGCCAAAAGATTTTATAGAATCCCTCCACCATAAAACGCCAAAAAAAAAGATCTGTATATCTCTTAATGACTTATTAGCAAATATTACAATACAAAAAGATTAGGCGCTATACACTTCAAACAAAACGGAAGATAATGAATAACACAGGCAAAAAGAGAAAATGCTCAAATATAACGAGTTAAGTAGAACAAAACAAATCTTGACCTCCATACCTCACTTAATCCCTGTGCAGCTCCAGACCTTTCAACATTGCTAGTATCAGATTTGAGGGTTTCAAATAACCACGGAACAAGATCTGGGAAATTCTCCTCTCCCATCCCTCTGATAAGTGATCCAACTGCCCTTGCTGCAACAGAACGTACCTCGGGGATTGGATCCACGAGAACCTGTCCATTCCAGTACTCAACTATATGTATAGCCAGCGCAACAAGATAATTTATTTATTTTGATCAAGGACAACAGACAACCTTTTTAACTTCTGGAAGGAGCAATCCTATGTAAGGAATCATATCCGTTGCCTCGGTCACTAAAGAACACATGTTACCAACTATTTGAGCAGCTTTCTTTTTAGTTTCAGAACTCCTTTCTCTCAATCCTCTATGCACTATCGGCACCAACAGAGCAAGTGAAGGGGCATCGACAGTATTAACAAAAGTTGTCTGTAAAAAAGTTAAATACTTAGACCAAGGAAGCAGCGAGCAAAAGTATAACCTCAGGATGACTAATAAACAGAACAATTACCTGCAGAAGGATGTCAAGAGAATGACGCGTGTACTCATTGGGATCTGTTAAGGCCATAAGAAGAGTGGGAACAAGAGAAGAAATTTCTGGATTCTTTATGACACCTCCAACCTGAAAACAATGGTGGAAAAGAATTTCAAGTGAGGAAAGTTTGCGACAAACATGGAAACTGCTATGCTATTGAGTACAACCTGCTGAAGTGCCGTCTGCCCCGCCGATTGGACTTTTGGATGTGTATCTGTTAAAACCTGCATCAATAAGACTTATGCAATCAGATCAATTTAAACCATCAACTGAACAAAAGCCTCCTGTTAGGCTCTAGATTTGGCTACCAGTGAATTTTCATGCATCTGTTGTACACACCTCTGTAAGTTTTGGCACAATTTTTGGAAGACATTGAGACAATTGCTGGGGAGCACAGTATGCCATAGCACCAAGAAGCAGAACACTGCTTTGCTTAGTTCTCCAAGCCTTATCTTCGAGTCCCTATCAAAAGAGAAGTATTCACCGAAAAGAAGTGACATGTAAGACCAACAAATACACGCATAAGATATCCTGGTATTTGAGTAGTCATAGCTGAAGCATATTTCTCAGGCAGCACAACACAAACTAGCTAGAAAACAGATCTGCAATCATCTATATCTTCTCTTTTTAAAAAAAAACAGCTTTTACATCTTCCATCTTTTGCCTGCAGGAACAAAAGATGACATAAACATAGCTAACTAAAATAGAAGGGACAACAATGAGCACAGCCTAATGCCACTACACAAAAATATAATATACGGAGAATGCTGAAGCTAAGTGAACTTCGAAAAAACATGGCCTATCACCTTAAGCAGAGATGGCAGGACGAGCTTCACACCATATGCAGTAAGCTGAGACATCATAGCACGAGCAGCACATTCTGCTGCCTCACGAACTGCTCCGACTTGATCAGAGAATGATACCAGAAGTAACGGTAACATTTTGATCACATACCTGAATCAACAGATTGAAATAACATCCATTAGAAAATCTACGACACAATACAAGACACAGCGTCTTTGACATATTAATGGCTAGAAAGTTCACTTACGGTTCAAACAATTTTCCCAGCTTCTCACAGAGGCATTCAAACGCAAGTACAGCTCCTTCACGACATTTCGCAGAATTTCTGCAGCCAAAGCAAAAGAATTTAACAAGAACATAAATACAGGCTCTTATTGAACTGTAATAATATTCTTATGAGACAAGTGAGATAGAAACACAGTAGGCTCTTCTAAGCAGCAATCACAAAATTAAATTGACACAGAGACATAGTCCACCACATACAGAATGAATCGGTTCATCACCACAAAAATGAAAAGTTGTTTTGCCTCAACCAAATGGTGGGCAAACCCATTCCATCGTGAACTTTGAAACAAACAGCATAGTATTCAAAGACAGAACATCCAACAAGAATTGTGAAACAGCAGCACATATAACAAAGATTCCAAAAATAATACATTTGTCATTGGTTTAAAGGAAAAATAAATACGGCTAAAGAAAAACCTGTCTGTCAGAGCTTCCTGCAGAGTGGCTGCAATACCATACTTCTTCAAACTACCAATTCCAAAACCCATAACTACTCCTGCAAGTCCAAAAGCTGCCCCTCTACGCTCACCGTATTTATCACTCTTCATTAGTTGATCCATGAGCCTAGAAACAAGTGCAAGGGCATCCTCCTAACAAAAAATGAAAAAAAAATCGATAACTTTATCTTTGTATCATGAGTCTATATATAAACCCCTTAAGGGCAAGCCCACAAGAAAACGGGAGAAGAACAGAGTCATTTCTTTTAATTTTTTCTCAAAACTACTTCGAGAAAACATACTTGTTTGGATGTCACTAGTGGAGAAAGGCATGTTGAGACTGCACGCTGTACAGCTTCTGAAGGTGTGTTCAACACATCCAACAACTTTTCCACCACAGTATGGACTTTAGGGTCATCCTGAATCATTATGGAATACTTAAGCCACAAATAATTGCATATATTGAATAAAGAAAAAAAGTAAAGATATTGTACTTACTTTTGCCAAGTGTTTTGCTAGTGCACCAGTAAAGATAACAACACCCTCACGGACCAGATCGTATTTTTCTTCATCTGATGCCTGCATGAGCAATTACGTGTTGAGCTCAAAAGCGACTAACAAGAAATATAGTGCATCTGGGAGATCTTTAGATTGCTCGGATAACAAACCTTTCTATTCAAATAGTTCTCAAAGATAGGGAATAACAATGAAACATTTTCCTTTCCATGCTTGTCAATAATCATGATACCAGCATTTATCATTCTTCCCCGAACATCTGCGTTAGGATCAGCCTGCAGTCGGAAAGGCATAAATTTAGAGTCAGCCATTAATTCTAATTATAACCAGTAATTAGTGAAAGAGCTTAAAGCTATATAGTCTTCAAAAGAAACATAAATGTTGGGATTCTAAGCGATAAAAATGCAATCTCCAGCACTGCTTCCAACCCATCTAACTTTGTGAGCATCATTCTGATATTATATAAGCATTTATGTGACAGGATGAGAAGATATACCAGAGCACGTGATATCAGAAAAGTCATAACAGCAGGAAGATCCTTTGTCGTTAACACATCAGCCGCAGATTGCAATGCTAAGGCTATCCCCTGCCTGCCTATCCAACCAGCATCTACACCAACCTCACCAGAAGCAGCATCACGGATGTACAACGAAAATAGGGTCGACAGAGATACCTGAAAAAGTTACTCAATCTTTAATACCAAAACTTGATGAGGATAAGATAAATCAAAGGTTTAAAGTGTGTTCACTTGAATCGTTGTTGGGTTCTCATCCAAAGCAGCAGCCAATGCTTCTGCGGCAGCCAAACGCACATTAAGATTAATATGAGAAAGCGCTTTGAAGATTCCTGAATAGTCAGTCCCCATATCATATCCATAGTTAGCCCATACATCCTCTGCAGCTTCTGCTACTGACTGCAAGCATTCGAGACAATAAATATAAGATCCACTAATCAATGAAGCTTTAAATTGCTAAAGTAAACTGGTTAATACCGGATTCATTGATAATATTATCAACAGTAAAACAATACAAACGAGAAAACAAGCATATGACTGAAAACAAACATACATACAAAGAAAATAAAAATGGAAAAGCTAACCTTTTCAGGATCATGTAAAGCAATCCAAATGTTTGTTGCAATATCAACACTCTGAGGGAGTGAGCACCTAGAAACAGCTGGAATACACTTAACAGCATTTATGCAGGACATTCTGACATGAACATCTTTTGCATATACCCCATAAAGTGCCTGAAAAAATAGAATGAAAGATAAATAGGAGATTCTAAAAAGGGAATTTCGAAAGGCAATATGAGCACAGAAGAAAAAGAAATACATGAGCAACATCGTCCACTTGCAAACCAAGACACAATTCATTCAGTGCCGGTCCAATCGATGCTTGATATGCAGGAACAACACCAAGAACATGGTAAAGAACCTGCAAAAAGTATCTAAGTTGTTACACTCAGAACATGAAATTGATTGAAAATTGAAATAACAAGATGGTGGTGTGATGGTACAATCAGAAAAGAATATAAAAGTACGCAGATATAGATACACCACATATAAATATACATAACATTTTGTAAAACTGTTACTTAACAAAATTGGAGGCACCTAACTGATATCATCCGGAGCCTAGGAAGGGGTAGTAGTGGATCCATGTGCATGTATAGAATTTGAAGCACACCATTATGTAGTGCTGTTCGTTTCGGTGATAGCAGAATTCTCTCCAGTATCTGAAGAGAACAAATATAGAGCTCAAACAAGTAAAGAGAAAACAAGTAAAGAGAGAACATAAGTTACACCGACATCAGTGACAAGAAAAACATACCGGGAAAATGAAAGTGAATGAATCTACAGGAAGTGGTCCTGATTTACAAGATATGGATAATCCATTAACAATCCTTTCAAAAAGACCCATAGATGCATTCCCAGTCGCATCACTGTGGTCTGATGGCAGTAAATCAGATAGAAGATGGGCTTCATCGACCGCAATCAATCGTAAAGCAGTTGCAACGTCAAAGGCCCAGTTACATAGTGGCTGAACTGTACACCTTGCCAGCTTCACCAAGTTCTCAAAGGCTGCAGCATTTACAATAGGTGATCGAAGCAAAGGATCCACAAAACTAGCCTGGTAAAGAGATACACCAAGAATAAGAGCACGATCCCAGAATTACAAGAAAATATACACTAGAACAGCTTTAACCATGCAGCTCACACCACTAAAGTGTGCTAGAGTGGCAATCAAAATATAAACAACAGAATTAAAAGAACCAAAAAGAATGATTATTTCCCGAAGTTCTGCTTCTCCATTTTTCAGCATAGGAATAGTTGCACTTTTCTAGGGAAAAAGAAAAAGCCCTTTAAAAATTCATATGCCTGAATTGTAGATTCAGAAAACACGCATACAGCAGGTAAAATTTATCCACACTTCCCCAGATTCTTACATTAAACAAGCAGCTTACCAAGACAAGTGCAAAGAGTACTTTTCAAAGAATTCAAAGGATATATCCTCTCAGCAAGAATTAATTATGTTCACATAAACAATTCACATTGATAAATCAAATTTAAAAAAAAATAACAATATTGGAGGAGGTTTTACATACCAAGGAAGGCAACTGACTATGAGCAAATACAGGATTCGCAAGGGCCATTTCCCCAAGAGCATAAAGCACCAAAGAAAGATTCTTTTGTATAACGCGAACTTTTTCCCGGGTAGAGGCCTCTTCTTTGAGCATCAATTCACGTGCCTCTTCTTTTGCTGTCTTTCCTTTGTCTGCAATTACGAAATTTCTGAACTATATAGATAGAAAGGGGGCAAAGTAATCAAATTAGAGATCCCAAGGTAGAACAAGGACTTACCAGCTTTCTTTATTGACTTCCCAGCTTCCCTTTTCCCTGAATTTGCAGCTTCTCTACCAGCCAATCCTTTCTTCAAAGAATGATTTGAGCTCTGGATAAAACAAGCATACACAAAATAAAATCTAATTCTTTCAAGTAGAAGCCAAAATTAAACGCATCAAATAAATAAATGTAGAAAAGTTAAGTACCGGCTCCTGCTTTATGTTCTTGGCACCAATCATCTCTGCGACATAAATGCCTTGCTCGCTTAAAAGCATTCCTTCAGGGGTATTGAAAATCTGAAAATAAAATACAAGCGAAACAGAAATAATTACACAACATGCTTCTGTACAGTATACAATACCCACTACATTTTACATCACATGCCACAGTTGAAATGTCAGTAAATAGAAATACAAATACAAAGTCAATGTTCTACTAAAAGAAATGAAGTGAAAGCCCAGGAGAATCACCTTAATGTCAGTCATTGTAAGCATGTCATGAGAGAGACGATCTGGAAGTTCTTGCAGATGCTATAATGAAGAAGAATATGAAATTAGCAAAAGCGCTGAAAAATCAACTAAATTAATAAGGCTTACAAACCACCATAAAATTTAATACCGTCTTAAACAAAGCATATGTATCCTCTGGTGCCAGAGTCATCAAGGTGGACAATGAATACACTGCAGCTTGCTGCTCAAATCCTTTCGAACTCATTAAACCCATTGGTCCAAGCAGACTCTGAGAGATATAAGACATGGCTTAAAGTTATCAACATCTAAAAACGTAACAATAACAATCAAAGTCCAATAGAGACATAAATTTGTAAAACAGTTGGCCTTTTAGCCTCCAAAACCTACCGAAATGGAAAATTGCCAGCTTGTTGCATATAAATGGAACCCGGATTTCTAAATCCAAAAAGTCATTTGACCACAGTAAAAATATAAAATTTAAGGCACCTAGAACCATGGCTGATAAATACAAACAGACTTCTAAACGAAAAAACAGGACAATTTAAAAGACAACAGTGAATACGACTGATTCTATGGATGACACCAAACAAAAGATTTCAATATGACAACAGAAAGATTACCTGGCAAACAGTCTCTACATTGGAAGGTAAAATGGCAGCAACATCACAACCAAGAGTTCTGAGACACTTTTGCAACCTCTGTGTGTATGCAGAATACCAATAAGAAAAATATAAAGGAGAAAATTGCAAAGAATGTGACTATATCAAGATTACCCTCCAAACTGCATCTCTTTTCCCAGTGCCAACTATGCATGGATGATGTGAACAGATTATGACACGAGCAATCCATGTTCTTGGACTTGCAGCGACTGCTGCTGATGAAATTGCTAGCAAAGCCTTTACTAAAACCTCCACTGACGGGACAAATGAAGCTTGTGGTTCCACAGAGTTATCTGTGTCACTACAGGAGAGCAAAATTAGTCTTCCTATCATAAATACATAGCTTCGTGTGTATCGGTTCAATTGCCAACTAATCTTCAAGACGCATTCAGACAGAAGAAAATAAAGGTCACTATTACATTATTGAACAAAAAGTAAAAGTTTCCATTAATATAAAAGGTGACTAAAACAGTAAATAATCATAACCTGACACAGTCTGACTTAATTTAAGCTCAGGCCAGATAATGCAATAAAAGCAAGCCTAGAACTGCTGTCTGGCTTCTTTCAGGAAGAACACAAAACAATTTTTTTTACTCAAAGGAAAAAAATGAAAAACAAGGGAAGGAAATTTAATTCTAACATATATTATTGTAAAGAGAAAACAGACTTGTCATTCGTACCTTGATCTAGAAGTAACTCGATCTCCAACTACAGAAAGAAAATCCAAGTATTCGATCAGAAGGGCTTCAGCAAACTCTGAAGTTGAAGCAAGGATCTTCTTGATGGAACTGTAAGCTCTTTGACGGACAATCCAGCTTGGATGGCATATTAGAAAGAGAAGCAACTGCAACAACCAACACATGAAACATCAAATGCATATATGGCCATTGGTCAGCACTTCAGAGACAGTACATTTGTTCCTTTTACAAGTATATTAATAGCTACAATTTTTTCCAGCAATTTATTAATAGTTTGGTTAATCAACATACAAGTACAAATAAATATTTCTTATATATCATTGGTTAATATACAACAAACAAAAAATATCCATAGACTCTTTTACTCCTTTTAGACCTACACCCTACAGCAAATCTTCATCAATTATGTTTTAGTCTACACTCGAAGTTACTGCCACAGTAGAAAAATCTACAGCAACAACCACGACTACTACAACAGTCATAATTCACAGCCACAGTCGCATCGCAGACATCCAGGATCATAGACTTGCTTACCTGTGAAAGTGATTTCACTGCAAACGCTTCCAAAACTCTACAAAACAAGCAGCAAAGATACTAAGATTTCAGCTAATATTGTAAAAGTGTAAAGTATAAGCACCAGATGGGAGGTCTACCTGCGTGAATGTTCCACCAGAAGCACCTCAAGAAGTTCAACACACACCACACAATCATCGCTTGATAGTTTCGAGGTCTTTGGGTTGAGATGCGCCAGTATATGAGAAAAGAAAAGGAAAATGACACTTAAAGCACCTTGTATGCAAAAATTAATTCAAGATTACTCAGTAGCAAAGGAACTTGATAAGAAATAGTACCAAAGGAATTTGCACAAGGGCAGGCTCGTTTTGTGATATAAAAGTCCACAGTTTCTCCTTCACTATAGTATCCTCTGAAGTTTACAAAGAAGATAAACTCAATTGAGGAAATAAAATTAGAAACTGAGAAATATGAAGAAAAGGACCAGGAAAAAATAACACAAGGAGAGAGATATTGTCAGTTTGAGACCTGCTTTGATGTCACAAGCTGCAATCTTCGAAACAATAAGCAAAGCATATATTCCATCTAAGCGTTGTACTGCCTTCGTAAATCCCGTTTTCACTAGTTGAACGAGAGGGCCAAGCAAATCTGATATCTGAAATACTTATTCAGTGTATTACTTAGTTAACAACAATCATAGACATGGAAGAGGGAACCTATAAAAGCTGGAAAACGAAACCAAACCTGTGAAATGGTATCAGAATTTCTACATATGATACGTAGACATCGAAGATGCCCCCTCCTAAGAGCCTCCTTCTCCTTAAGGCCCGAAGAAATGAAAGAAATTAAATCTGGTTGGATCGCCTCAGAAGAACGTGATGCCCAGGAAGCTATGGCTGACAAAATTGCAAGTTTTACATCTTCGTTTCCTGTTATGTAATAATACAGAACAGCAATCAGCAACATGACACCTAAAGGTTACGTGAGGAAAAGTATCGATGATACAAAGGAACATATACAACTAAACACAGAATCTCAATTCTGCAGAAACTGCGACACAATGCCGAACTTGAAGACATCCAAAGATCCAACAACACTTGAACCAACAGTTGGTTCACAGAAGCGCCAACAGTTCTCGACAAACTACCAAGATGTTTGCCGTTGGGAGCATTGGCCAAAGATCCCATGGAATAAGACCAATGTAGCAAGCCATCAATAACCAACAAATAGTAGATTACCTTCATCCTTGTAACAGGATATGAGAAAGCTGCAAACAATTCTCGACAAACTACCAAGATGTTTGCCATCGGGAGCATTGGCCAGCTCTTGCATAGCCTTCATCATTCCTATCCTTTGATATGGCAATTGAAGTCTTCCTTCGGAACCTATCAGCACAGATCCATAAATACATGCGTATTCATCAATTAGGAAAATACCCTACACAACCCAGGCCCCTTCCCTTACAAACACAAACAAGGGAATTGCACCAACTTGGCATAAGAGAGGAATTCACTAGAAAAAAAAATCTTTAATAGAAAAAATAACCAAAGATATGATCAAAGAAATAAAGACCAACCTCCAATCACAGATTTAACAGCAGCAAACATTGCTTCCAAAGTATCAGGATTACTTGACTTTTCACTTACAGACCTAACCATCGACAATGCCCCGAAACGCCTATCTTCATCCATATGTCGAGCTTGCGATAGTATTACTGGTAGCACTTCCAAGGCATACTTACTCAGATCAATGTTCACATTCGCTAAAAGAACCCCAATAGATTCCAAAACAATTTCTGGATTGCGTTTCAACATTTTCACTGCGGCTGGAAGGACTATAGTTTGGAACTCTTCATGGGTCAGCCGCATGAGAAGCGGCTGAAAACACTCGCTAAGCTGCTTTTTTTGCTTCTCTCTAGAATTCAGAACTGCTTTGACATAAGTATCAAGAAACGTTGCCTGCCAAAGTAATTTTAGAGGTATTAATCAAAAATAGGAGCAACATATACACAGGTTTCAGGGAAGCTGAAGAACATATTGTTTCAGGGGAAAGTGGATACGGAATAGAAATTCAAATATAACTTACCTTGGACTGTTCAAATAAAACAGGAGATAAACAAGAGAACTCGAGCAATAGTCCTAACAATTCAGGAGCATCCTTGTATGGAATCCGTGAATCTTTGATTTCTTCCACATATGTTTTGTATATATCTTGTGACTGCAAATCAATTTAAAAAAAAAATTAAATGCAGTTCAATCAATCCAGTAGTCCATCAACTTTTGCTACATGCAAGGAGTCCAGACCAAACCTGAGAAAACAAATGGAAAATAATTCTTCTACATGCCCTTCTCTGGCAGAAAGATCTCTGCATAATAATGTGAAGTAGTGCAGCCTGAGCTGACGCCACTCTAACCAACGCATTCTTTGAAACTGTGGGAAACTGACTTTTTTCCAGAAGAAGACACGACCAAACTAGCAGTCTGTAACAGCCAGTGTCCGATCCAAACTTTATCTGTTTTTCCACAGCTTGTACAAGTGTTGCAGCAAATGTTTTCATAAATGTAACACTTCCCAATGCCTTTACAATCATATCATCCACGGCTTTCCTTGAACCCCGATCGTCATATATAACCAACGTTTGAAATATTGTATCAACCAGAACTGGCGCAGTATCAGAGCTCATATCTGCAAGAATTTTGAACATATTGAAATCAGATAAATAAACAAATAAAACCTTTAGAGAGTCTCATTCTGTAAGAACAACCAAATACAGCAAAATGCACATTTTGGGTGTAAACTACAATGAATTTAAACAGATAGTATCCACCCATTGCTATGACTACAAATTAAAAAGAAAAAACATATAGAAGAGGCCAATTAGACAAAAAGATTCATGTAAGAGAAATTGGTACACAAAGCAAAAATTGAAATCTGCAGGACAAGAAAACAACCAATTCCCGGAAGCATTCAGCCAGACGCCGGCATCTTGAAGGAAAAAAAAGTACAAACTGGTTGATTGGTCCACTAAGGCAGACCTTCTATAAGCAAGTATCACATTCGATTTCATTTGACAAAGGTTCAGTTGATCATACTTACAAATGCTTCAATTAATTGCCTTCAACAAGTCATAAGTGCACGGATAAGTTCAGAATTACGCCGCCAAGTTACAAAATTCATGCCTAAGTTGATAGCCCAAGTAAGATTTAAACCAGAAAAATTCAAGCTTTATGCCTGATTTATTTTCCAGATAAAAAAAAGGCGTCATTGGCAAGGATATAAGAATAGAAGATACAGAAGAAAAGAACCAAACATAATTCACCCCATACGCCCAAATACCAAAAAACAAAAAAAAGGAAGAAAAATTTACATTTTAAAGTTGAATGAGCATATCAACTTGCTCAAGAAACTGAGTAAAACTCGAATTCCTGATCGAAGATCCAAGTCGAAAACAATGCTATCTCATCACCGATCGAAACAAAGAGAACCTATCAAAAACTTCCCCAAACAAAACGGGAATGCTCACCGGAATTCTCGATGATCGCCGGAATTTCACTGCGGAAGATCCGGGCCCGCTCCTTCGTGGAGCTCGTGGAGACAGACCCAGAAATGGAGACAAGACGGTCCACAAGACCCGCCATTTTTTACCGGGAAAAAAGCGTGCAGATTGACCAGAGCCAGGATCGTAGAAATGGGTATCTCCGAAACTAGGGTTTTTCTGATAAACGAGATCAAAAGAGGTAAAGTAAAGTTGCGCTTCTCTCTCTGTCTCTCTCTAGTGAGAAGCAACTAGGGTTTTAGAAAATCGTTTCAGTTTTCTGCAGCTAAGCCGCTCAAGTTTGCAGGAGAATCGTAAGGCCGGAGACAAGGTTAAAGACAGGGTGCAAAGGGCTTCGGTTTCTTCACGTTGAGTTTGGTCCTTCTGTTTGGGCTTCTTGGCCCATAACGGATATTTTTTTTCCAGAATTCAGTGTGGGATCTTATACGGTGTTTAATTTAAATTTTGAATGTACTAGTTTAGTACCCGCGCGATATGCGCGGGTTATTCCCTTTTTAATTATAAAATTAGTTAAAATTAATATTAAAAATAATATAGACTTATTTATTTGATATAAAAATATATTTAAAATTTAATTATTGTAATTTTATATAATGAATCTAAAGGGGTAAAACTGTAAAGAAATATGAGTATCGTTTTCTATACATATATGTTTGATATTAGTAATTTATTATTTATTTGATAAAAAAACATTTAATTAAAAGATATTAAAAAACGATATTGTTAAATATTATAGATATATTTTTTTAGAGTAGTTAAATATTATAAATTTATTATAGCTCGACTATATTTTTGTTCTTCCATTTATCTTTACTGTTGTATCAACAACGTTGTCTTGACAACGATTTAAAATTTTGAAATGTGTTAAAAAGTACATTAGTTTTAATTGTTTCGGAAACACATACCATAAGCACTTTAATTAATTTTTATACGAAAAACGATGAATAACTAAAATAACATCTTTAACATCGTCAACGAATAACTCAACTCGAAACCTTGAAAATGAATATTAGCATACAATAACAAATTCGTTAATATTAATATAAATAGTGTAATTATGAATAAGAGAAAAATTATAAAAATACTTCATCACTTCTGGAGTGTTTGTGTTAATAATAATAATAATAATTCAATGAAAAACACCAAATTAGCTCAAAGAAAAGTTTGAACTTACAAGCTTTTATATTAATATATTTTATTTCCATAAAATTACTGGATTTTTAATTTGTTATAAATAAAATCATTGATCAATCAAGTTACCTCGATCTTCCGTAATTTATTTCTAAAATTCACTATGTATTAAAAAAATAAATTTCAAAAATCACCGGAAATTTTAAAAATAATATTATATCATTTTAAATAACTTAATAAAAATTTAACATCATTAATTTGACTCTAATATGAGACATCGAAAAGTGAGTTTGACTATAATCTTACTTAATAAAGGATGAATGAAAATAGTAAACCAAAACTATCTGATGAGAAGCTAATGAACTAAACGGAGTTTTGGCATGTTTTAAAGATTGTAATCATCCTGTAATCATATCAATTTCCGGGCATAAATGAATAGGATATAACCAGTACACAGAGTGTCACTGTCGATCTTATTGCCCATTTGATGATGCTTGTCTTTCTCTTGCTTGTACTTCTTCTTCACTGTATCGATCTTGTTCTTATACCGATCATCGAAGTTTTGCCTGAATCATCCCACTGTTTACGCTCTCCCCCAAAAGGATCATGAAACTTTCTTCGATCAACATCATCGCCATTACATCGCTCCAGCAATCCTTTCTCCCTCGTCATCCTCCGAAGGCTATACCGTTATTGTTATTCCCTCCTCTACATGCCACTGGGCTAGAGTCATTAAAATATCTGTGTGTATATGTGTATATATATATATTTATGTGTGTATATATGTATTTATATGTTTTTATTTTTTATGAATATATCTATATATATTATATCTTTATTTTTTTTAATTGAGTATGAGTGTTTTGTTAATTTGATTGTATAGTTTTGGTAGTCTGTTTTGTTAACCTCATGTATAAATTTTTATAATTTCATTTCTACTTTTAAATCTCTACTATAAATAATTCAATTTTACACCATCGATCTGAATTGGAATATAAAGAAAGTAAACAATTACAAAACCACCCTTGAAAAATTATAAATTTAATTTTTTAACGCAACTTTTCTATCGCTTTACTTGTAATTCCATAATCCACGTAAAGGTTTGTCAGTTTAAATTCCACAGCACGTAGACTTCTGCGCATCCTAGTCGGATTCAGCTTCCTAGCAAACTAAATACCAGTTCAGATTTTATTAAGGAAAAACGGAGACGGAGTAAAATCGATGGAGACAGAGTTGACATAGCCGGCGAGATGTTGGAGGATCGGCGGATGTTAGATTTGTCGGAGAGACTATCTGAGATTGAGAATGGACTGTCATGAATACCGTTTCTTCTTTTAAGTTTGTACTTTACTAAATATTAACTATCTTGAAAATATATATATATATTCATACGCATAGTCATATACATATATAAATACTTTGTTCATACATATGTCCAAAATTATGTATATTATATATATATATATATATATATATATATATTATATACATATACATGTATGATATTTTTCATTTTGAATGACTCAATTTAAATTTGATTTTTATTACATTTAAAAAATTTATTTATTTTTTTATTAAAAATAATAATTATTATATGAAAAATCAATTAAATTTATCAAAATTTATCTCGACTATTTTAAAAATATTTAATTAAATTTTATGAAAAAACTTATAAATATCTAGATAAAAAATATTTATTAATCTCATTTTTCTAAAATACATTTCATTACTTTACATATTATTTTAAATAAACAAATATATATATATATACACATAATTTAGTTTGACCAACATAATATGCATGGATATAAAATATAACCGATAATAGAAGAATGATTAATATAAAATATAAATATTGATATGGTGAGGATGTTAGATAATAATGATATTTTTATCTTGAATTTTGAACTACTATATTTATATTAAAAAATTATATATTGAAATTTATTTAAAAAATTTAGTAATTATATAAAAAAAATTTAAACTATTAGATTTATTTACAGTAAGTTTTTTATTTTTTAGAACATATGGTGTCTATACATGATAAGGTTTTCTATATATTTTTTTAAAAACACATGTTTGTTTATGAGTTGGATTAATATATAAAATACAATTAAGCTCATCAACTCACTGATTCACTGTGTTATCAAATAGATCTATACCATCTTCCATTGATTTATCTCATTTTCTTTTTTCTCCTCAGATTTCCATGAATTAAAGAGAAAGATCTCACACCAGTGACCGATTCAGAATATTTTATCAAACCCATTCTCTTCTTCGCCTCTGTCTTCTTCTGCAATCTCTCACCTACCCATCTCTCTCGTCAGTCGTACCGCTCTCCTTCTCCTCCTTACTCTCCTTGTTTTCCTCAGGAGTTTTCTTACTCTGGTCAGAAACACCCTTATTTTCATTTCCAAACACGGGTGTTTCTTCGTTATTGGTATCCAAATGGCGACTATACTTATGGTTTTTTTGAATAAATCCTATACCTAATAAATTCTAGATTATTTAATAGATTTATATATAAAACAATATCATTATTATGCTAATAATATAATAATGTTTATAAGCTTTCATTTATTCGTTTATATATATATATATATATCGAATATATAAAAATTAAAAAAAGAACATGATATGAGTGGTCTTCGTATTAGAAGCAACCAAATATGAAGTGGAATTCTTAACTTTCATCACCTTTATCAGATCTTTTGTCATCTACCGAATGGCGATAAACAATTATTCTATATCAACACCAAAAGTTTTCCCATATAAATATAATATATATAAATATACTCATAGAAAAATAAAAATATAAAATACATAAATATATATATACACATATATACATAGTTATATATATATATACATATATATATTCATACACATTGACAAATACGTATATAAATAATTTCTTCGTACACATCCGAAATTATCTATTAAATACATATAAACATATATATTCATATATATATATATTGTTTTGAATGGTTCAACTTAAATTTGAATTTTATGATATCTAAAAAAATATTATATATTTTTAATAAAAATAATTGTAAATTATAGGAAAAAATGATTAAATCTCATTCTATATATCTATCTAATATATATATTTTATTTCTCTACATTTGATTAAAAATAAAAAATTGAAAAATAAATAATCAAATACAAACATTAATATTAAAATTAATAAATAAATCTATATATATAAATATATATACATATACGTACATAATTTAGTTTTAAAAATAGATAAATTTACATACTTTTCATGTAACTTATTGATTAAGTTTTAAAAATACAAAAATATAAATATACTATGTATAATTACACTCATAAAAATAAAAATATAAAATACATACATACATATATATACATAGTTACACATATATATTTATATATATGTACATATACATATACATTATATTATATATATATATATGTGTAATCATACACATAGACAGATACATAAATAATTTATTCATACACATATCTGAAATTATATATTACATACATATAAATATATATATTCATACACATAGTTACATACATACAAATATTTTTCGATGGATCATTTACTTTTCTTAATCAAAAGCGAGAATAACCAATACTCGTCTTGAAAATATTCAGTGGCCAAGGAAAGCAAAAAGTAAAGAGCCACACTTACTTGGAATCCAGTTGAACTGTGGTGCATCCACAATGCAGTAGGATGGAGGCCGTCCACTGAATCTCGCGTAATCTTGTGGAAGATTTAGATGGCAAAATATATTAACAGAATCTTAACATATTTACCAAAAAATATATATATATATATTAACAGAATCTTAACAATTTTTCACATTTCAAATCACCTAAATTGTTGTTGCAAACACAGAGGAGAAAACATATGAAAGAAAAATCTAATGGATTGCAAATAATGATATACATTTGGAAGGAAAAGAATTTAATTTTTGTTCAATATAATTCTGTACAAAACACCAGTACTGATGATGTTCAAGTTCTTCAGTATCTGATATATGGAAGCGTCCACATATGCAAAAATATAATATTGTTATACAAAAAGAGACAAAAAAAAAATTAGATTCAGATCAACAGGAAGATCAGAAGGTATGAATATCCATGTAAGCCAAAAAAAAGGTACTTGTAGTAGAT